GTTTGATCGCGGTTGGATCTCGGTTGGATCTCGGTTGGATCTCGGTTGGATCTCGGTTGGATCTCGGTTGGATCTCGGCTGGATCGCGGTTGGATCTCGGTTGGATGTGGGTTGGATCTCGGTTGGATCGGGGTTGGATCGGGGTTGGATCTCGGTTGCATCTCGGTTGGATCGCGGTTGGATCGCGGTCGGATCGCGGTCGGATCGCGGTTGGATCGCGGATGGATCGCGGTTGGATCGGGCTTGGATCGCGGTTGGATCGCGGCTGGATCGTGGTTGGATCGCGGTCGGATCGGGGTTGGATCGCGGTTGGATCGCGGTTGGATCGCGGTTGGATTGTTGTTGGATCGTAGTTGGATCGGTTGGATGGGTGGGGTGGTTTGGTTGGCGTGGTACAGCGTGGTACAGTTTCGATTGGTTTCCTTTTTCTGGTCAACGCAGCTTGGGAAAGAGTGAGAATGCCCAGGAGTGCTTTTCCACCAATTGCTGCTTGGCTTTCTTGGATGGAGGCTAAAATTCTTCACGGATCTGAGGCATTGCAGATATTGTGGATTCGGTGCATACGCGCCTTGTCTGCAACGTTGTGCAAGAGCGTTGCATGTCGTACCAGGCACCTTCACTTCATAATATGGGGGCTTCAGCCGTAAATTCCGCTGGGGCTGGCCGGCTGGGGTTTGGCTTCCCTTGGTTCGGGTTTCCTGGTGGTTTCCCTTTGACGTGCCAGTTTCTCCCTTTGCGACGCCAGGCGCACATTCCGTGCCGCGAAGGGCCTCGGCCACCTCCCATCTCCTCCTGCAGCCCGCTGGGTACCTTCGACTGTGGCGCCTTAGCGAGGGCCGAGAAGCCGAGGTGTCCAGGTTCATTCCCCAAAAGTCGTTGGTATTTGGGTGCCCAAAAAGAGGGCACACCCATTTCGGGGAGGCGAGATGCATGTCCATTTTGTTTGTTTTGTGCTTCAAAGCATGATGCCATACCATCATGGCTTATGAATCCCTGCTGGTCTTGGGCAGCATGAGTGCATGGGCTGATTTGGTCATGCTGGAGTCATGCTTGTGAAGCATTGCATGTGTTCAACTGATTGTGTCGCAACTGACTGCCAGCTGAGAACACAGTTGCTTTCACCCTGATTCAGGAGCGCTGTCTCCGAAAGCTACTCCCCAAAAGTCCTTTGTCAGTGACCCGCGGCGCAGGACCGGAGAGGAACGTCATCACGCAGACGCCTGGGGATCCCTACTATGAGTTTCTTGGCCCAACCTATGCCGATCTTCTTCGGCTCCTTTTTTCGTGCCTGACCGAGCTCGCTGTCGTGTGCCACGCGGGCAAGGAACCAGGTCACTGCCAGGGGCCTGGAGGAGCAGCTGCAGTGCTCCAAGGCCGAAGCTCGGGGACTGAGCGGCGGATGTTGGCCCGAAAGCCGCGAAAGCGGCCGGTGGCTTTCCCCGTAACGGTTTGAGTCATCGCCCGGGTTGCCAATGAAAAGCATGTTCCTGGCAGCGATGATTTCTTGGATTGGCAGTGCGCCTTTGTAAAGGGGACCTGGTCTCGGTTCTTTCAAAGGGAAACATGGAAACTACCAGTCTCAAGCATGCCTCTATTTGGAGACAGGCCCATATGAATCATTGATAGTATGATTGGTAGTCTACTGTCAATCTGCCGGTGTCACCCATTGCTGGTCACCAGCACATGAAAGCAAGGAGAAACCAAAGAGGTAGTCTACCGTTGGTTCCCAAAGTGTCACACGCCAGGCTGCGCGATTTCCATGTTTTGAGCGGTGCCCAAGACCTTGATTGGCCATTTTAGCAAGGGTTCTACCTGACTTAAGAGGGGTTCTAGTGAGGCCTGCGTACGCCTTTGCCATCGACCCAAGCGTTGGGTTTTGCGCCAGGTCCGGGGCATCGGTGGCACCAACATGTACTCGTGCGTCACCAACGCGCGGCGGGAGAAGAGTCTCCGGCCTCGGGCTCAGAAATCCAGAGATGCTGCGGGTCAAGAATCGGGTAACCCCTAAAACGGGTTGCCCTGGTAAATGGAAGCCTGGACCAAACCTGCGGTGCAATTCCAGGTGGTTGAACAGTTTGACCCATACCCACATATGGAAGTTGAGTTTTCATTGAAGCCCAAAGGAAAGTAACTTTGCACCAGGCGCCACATTGGTCGTCCACCGCGACTGCGGCGAATGTTCATGATTGGAGCACGTAAGTGAGGTGCACCAAAGGGCCCCCGAAGAAGTTTGTGCTTCGAATTGGAACTATGTTGCAGGGCTTGTGCTCCAAGGACAGCGCAATTCCTGCAGCAGATCACCTATAGCGCTGATTGCTCTTTCTTCGTTAAGAAGGTTTGGCGCATGTCGCCTTCACCCGTGGAAACCTGCACTGTCAAGTGCCCGGAGGCGAGCGAATAACGCGCTTGATTTGGATTCATGCCCACAGCGAGTGGCAGATGCATGCTGAATTTAAAGTGCAAGCTCTTTTTGTGCGGGGCCTACAACAAGCCCCTGGCATTCAGCGAAGCCTGGCCTCCAGTGTGGAGTCCCCAATCCGTCGATCCTTCCTTGGCTCAGGCTGCGCTTGGAGGTTCGACAGCGTGTTGAATGAAGGTTTTACGCCACTGAGCAGTGTTGGATTGGCCATAAGCTTCCAGGCAAAGCCTTGCTCTGCATTTTGAGGGTCATGGAAGGATCCAGCATGCTTTGGCTGGCGGAAGTGTAAACGCCGAAGGCCTTGCTCCAGTGCTGGGGCCAGGCTGAAACAGTGAAACACATCCGGCGGAACGTCGCTTCATAGCTCGTTCTGGTTCTGACTTGAGATGCGCAAAGCGAGCATCCGACATCGCCAAGGAGGCTTTGAATGTAACTCACATGGCGACTGTACAGAGTAACTTGACTGTCCTGAGCCGACAAAGAAACCACGGCACCAAGGAATGCGGCGTGGACACCACAATGGCGGAACAAAGCAGTGCTCTTTGCCGGAGATGGCTTAATTCAAATCTTTGGCACTTGAGTGAATCAACGCCCCATTGATCTACCAGCATATCTCAGGGAGGGTTCCTTCAGGGTAAGGCCGTCAGAGTCCCATGTATCATCCACAGGCCAGAAGGCTCATCTTCTTGCCATGCAAGCCACATTTTGGCATCACGACATAGGAACGCAAAGCAGCGAACACCTTTCTCTCGCTGCACATCGACTTGCCCAGTTCGGATTGCTAGGAGCTGCCAGAGAAGCCAGTCGCTCCAGCCTTGAGCCAAGAGATGAGCGGGCTGCGGTGAAGCGGCAGAGCTTGGTGGTGCCCATTTCAGTGATTGGGGGATCACATGCAGTCGTTTGGGGATCGTCGCTGTGCTGCCAGTCGAGGTCGAAAGCACAGAGGTTCTGCCAGCCGCCCGGCAGGCCGGGAGCTGCGTTGCACATGCAGGACAATGAGGATATCTCAAAGCTTGAAATTTCGATGAGAGATCATGTGGTAGATGCCTCTCGATATCCAAATGATGCCCACCGATGCGCTGGCTGCCTGCTGGAGTCCTATTCGCCATCAGAGCAAAATGCAGGTGTTCTTTTACAACATAGGGAAGAGTGAAGGCAAGGAAAGAAGCGAACACCTTTCTCTCGCCGTACATCGACTTGCCCAGTTCGGATTGCTAGGAGCTGCCAGAGAAGCCGGTCGCTCCTGCCTTGAGCCAAGAGATGAGCTGGCTGCGGTGAAGCGGCAGAGCTTGGTGGTGCCCATTTCAAGTGTGCTGCACGTCAGTGATTGAGGGATCACTTGCAGTCGTTTGGGGATCGAGACCCGCAGATGCTTCAACGCCCTGTCGCCCTGTGCTGCCAGTCGAGGTCGAAAGCACAGAGGTTCTGCCAGCCGCCCGGCAGGCCGGGAGCTGCGTTGCACATGCAGGACAATGAGGATATCTGCAAATGTCTCAACAGCAGGCCACGTCTCCAGGTTATCCTAGGTAAGTTTGGATTCAAATGTGAGCCCACATGAGACATGCGACCTTTGAACATGTTGGAATGCCAAAGTTCACCCTGGACCGCATCTGAATCTCAAGCAGCACCTGCTTTGGCTTTTGGGTCTCTTTCAGATCTGTCAGCACCAGGCACCGCCTCGGGCTGACACGCCAGGTGGGGGAGGGAGGGGAAGGGGTTCTTTGCGTTCGTCGCTGTGGCTTCCACTCATCCACTGCACCGTCCAATGGCGCGGGCGAGAAGCGTCTTGGATGCGAGGCCCAGAGCCGCGTGTGGCTCCGAAGGCTGCGCCCAGGCGACGGCGTGAAGGACAGCGTGAAGTCCGGATGTTTCAAGGTGTTGGGCCCGGTCAAAACGTGCAGTCCATTTGGAGGGCCATGGGAGTCACAAAAAATCCAGCGGCCAAGACCGCAGACCGGGTCACTAATTTGTTCCTTTGTTTTGCATGCCGTTCGCTGCGCGCCCAACTGATGCAAAGGGCATCCCTGCAGCAGTTGGACCCAGAGACAGCCTGAGCTGCTCTTGGCAAAACTTGATATGTACAGCGGAGCTGCTCGCGTTGCCATACTCAAAACCATGTACAGAAGTGCGTGATTGATGATCAAGTCTGGCAACTTGTGCTGACTTGACAGAACAAGTAGCGGACACGAATCCAGGTTTGGGATACTTGTTTGTGATCAGGGGAGTCGTCCTTCAGAGCTCAAAAGTCGTTGCAGGAGAGCTGTACCAAACATTTTTCAGTTTTCTTGTTGGTTTGCACGGCGCAATCGCATATCTCGGGTTCCCAGTCACTTTTTCGGCATGCGCCAGGAGACCGCCAGCAGCGTCAGCAGAACGTGGTGGTTCAGCTGCTGAAGCCGCCGTCCACTGGGCACAGTCCTCGGCACAAGGAGGTTGGTTAGTAAGGGACTATCTCAGTAGCGGCCGGCCTGTGCGCGGCTTTGGAGAGACCACTTTGGCGCCAGGTCTTGATTCTGACTCAGTTGCACTTTGTGCGGCAGACAAGTCTGTTTGATGTATGCTAGAGCTGTCTATCCGCAAGTCTTCAAGATGGCGCGAGTCTTAAAGCTGGCGTTATGAATCTTGTCCCAGGAGGGGCCGCTTGTTGATGTCCTTGAATCTGCTCATCGGGCTTGTGCTGGCCTGCCTGGCTGGGTTCAACGTAGGCGGCCAGCAGTGCCGCGGCTTTTTCGTCCCCGCGGCCTGCTGTGGCAGCTTTGGTTAGAATCGGGTTGCTTGACCCTTTGAGAAAGAAAGATGAAGGCAAATAGGTCCAAATAATGCCAACAGCCTTTTGGTCAACAGCATCATCATCATCATCAGCATCAGCATCATCAGCATCATCAGCATCATCAGCATCATCAGCATCATCAGCATCATCAGCATCATCAGCATCATCAGCATCATCAGCATCATCAGCATCATCAGCATCATCAGCATCATCATCATCATCAGCATCATCAGCATCATCAGCATCATCAGCATCATCAGCATCATCAGCATCATCAGCATCATCAGCATCATCAGCATCAGCATCATCAACATCAGCATCATCATCATCATCATCATCATCATCATCATCACCACCCCCCCCAACCGCCACCCCCAGCCACCCGCCACTCACCAGCCACCACCCACCACCCAGGCACCAGCACCAGCCACCAGCCACCAGCCACCAGCACACCAGCCACCATCACCATCACCACCGGTACGCTGAAACAGTGGGCGCCAATTTGATATAAACCATGCAGAGAAGAGAAAGAGCGAGAGAGAGCGAGAGAGAGAGAGAGAGAGAGAGATAGAGATAGAGATAGAGATAGAGATAGAGAGGGGGAGGAGGGAGGGAGGGAGGGGTTCGGGTGTTGGGCTTGTGGCAGGTTTCCTTCTCTGTCGTCTTGATGGATGTGGTCAGGACGGCAGCTATACGGGTTGAAGCCTCACAGTAGGCATTGCAAGTAGAAACTAGCTGCACTTTGTGGCTGGTTGACATGCAATCTTGAAAGAAATCCACGGACAGCCTTGGAAAGATGGCATGCTCGCGGCGGCAATGTGTCTCATGTTTTTCACCAGAGGAGCCCGCCGAGTCTTCTGAACCCCCCGCCGGATCAGAAGGCAGCTCCCTCCATGGCAGAGCCAATGGACACTGAGACATGCGCGGAGCGTTCTTTGCACATAGACAGCAAGGTTGGAATCGAAGCGGTAGCCATAGAATCCATGGCCAATGGCAGGTCAAGAAGTAGCTCAGCTGGCCACTTAGCTTGGCTTGCCCCCTAAGGACTCAGGACAGGTCTGCGCGTTCCCGATCTAGTTTTGCTTTCTAGAGCTTGAAGCTTCAAGGTCGTGCACTCGCAGCGAATGAGCTAAGACCAAGGGCCTTGTTGCGCTGCGGAACCACAGAGTGTGAACAAACGCACTGGCAGACTGCGTATGTTGAGCCACATGCACTTCGGGTTTTCCGTCTTGCGGCGATTGCCAACATGGGACGCCTTTGGAACTGACATGTCGATAGCACGGCCTCAAGTTTCAGGCGTCTCAAAAGCTCGCCGTGCAAAGCCGGCGTAGAAACCAGGCAAAGCTTGCCTCATTGGAAAAGCAGCTTGGTCAACAGACTTTGCTCCGAAATTCGATTTGAATCAGACACCCTTCTGACTGGTGTGAGCTTCACAATTTGACTTTGCTGAAGCCTTTTCAGCCTCAAAGAAACACCTAAACACCTGAACCGAGTGCTTGCAGACTGAAAACCCAATTCAAAGTTGGGTGATTGTGAGGACAACCCCTCACGCGTTTGCCCGCATTGACCTCTCAGCGCTCACGAGGCAAACGCCTTTGCTGATCCTTCATTGTGCTGCCATGGCTTACGGCTTCTGACACTACTTTGGCAAGTGAATGCCTTTGCGAGATGCCTATGCTTCTTAGCCAGCGACTGGCGATGTGTGTGTGTGTGTGTGTGTCCACAATGTATGTATATATATATATATATATATATGGTACCCCCCCCCCATGGACCCTGGTTTGGTGCGGTTGACCTGTATTTTCCAGTGTTTTATGCTTCTTTTTGCTTCTTGGATTTGTGTCAAAATTGGGGGGAGGGTCGTACATGTATATGATACGCATGCATGCATACAGATGTGATAAAAGCAATGACATCAGCACCTGCAATCTGAAAGAGTTTGAATGCATCCAAGAATACACCAACAGCTCAGACATTTTTAAAAATTATTAAACATTCTGGGATTCAAGATTCAAGATTCAAGAATGTGAGAAAATATTTTCTGGGAATCTTGAATCTTGAATCCCATATTTTTTTAGAAATCAGTAAAAATTCTGGATTCAAGATTCAAGATTCAAGAATGGGAGAACATATGTTCTGGGAATCTTGAATCTTGAATCTTGAATCCCATAATTTTTAAAAAGTTTTAAAAATTCCAGGGTTGTCCCAATACTCTCGGTGTTCAATAAGATTCTCGGAAAAGTTTTCCGTGAAATAGTTCAATCCAGTGGTAACGGTGTTCGAGGTGATAGAACAACTTGAACATTTTCGGGGTTGACCAGGATGGATGATTCTCAGGAAAGTGGTGGTTTGTGGGCTCCTCAATATTGAATCCCCAATCCAGTGGTAAAGCACTTTCAAGTGCTAGAAGAACTTGAATGCTATTTGGGTTTGGCCAGGATTGACAATTCTCAGGAAAGTGTTCTGTGTAATCTTCAATATTGAATCTTCCATCCGATAGTAGCAAATTTTCAAGTGCTTAGCGATCCAGTGGACACACTTTCAAGTTATTGGTTAGACAAACTTTCAAGTGCTTTTGGTGAGCTTCATGTCAGCTATGCTCATGTTGACCCCTTTCCAGGAGGTAAACAAAGGCAGGTGCAACGCTCAAAAATACTGGATTTTCCAGTTTTTTATGAGGAGGCGCAGGATCATTGGGGGTACTATATATGTGTGTATGTATGTGTATATATAGATATACATATGTATGTACGTTCACACACTGTCCCCCACCCTCTTCAACTACCTGTCCACATTTGCTCATCTACTACCTCCACCTTTTGACATAGAATTAACTTTCCTGCGCAAATAGAACTTTAAATACAACGGTTTAGCTAGAATCCCTGTTTCGAGATAGTTTTAGATTTTGAACCTCTCTTCCCTTGAAATTTCCCTTTGGAACACCGTCTAACAAGTTCAATGTCGGACCTTTCTTATGCTACAAAAGGGCCAGAATGTAAACAACACAAATCCTATTTTTAATTTCCAAATGTTTAGCCATATTCAATATGAATTATATTTGAGATGTAGTCTCTATTCACTTGATATTATCAAAAGCAAATTGAGTTGTGTTCGTCTTAGATTATACTTACCACTTGGATTATATGTGGGAAACAACTTCCATCTAACTTCTTGTGTTATAGATTAGTTGGAGTTTAGCCGAAAATATATATTTACATTTTCATGTAGCTGCTATTTGGAAAGGATTTGCTTGTTTAAGCTGTAATTGAACATAAACACATTTTTGAAAACTATATCCATACTAAACTATATTCAAAATTCCAATTCTAGTTGAAGTAACATCTTATGTGCAAAGGGTATCATACTGGGACATTGTGGAGGACTCCGGGCTCCAAATTATCACGCTTTGGGGACCCACAATTGGAAATTTCGAGAATATAAATTTGGAAATTCTAGATTTGCCATCCCCAAAAGGCAGTAAAACCAGGGTCCATGGGGGGAGGTTGCATATATATATATATATATGTGTGTCCACAGAAACCAAGTCAGACGTGTTGATTATATTTTTAGACGCAGCCAAGTTGTGGAAACGCCGCCTTGAATGAAAGCTACAGCACGTGCCAAGGGTACAACGATACCCAAGTATGCCACTGTGCATAGTGCAAAGGGCTATCGTTCAACTTATAGTTAGTGCACTCAACATGGGGCTTGTCACGCTATCAGTTCGCAATCACTTGCTTTTTGTGCATGGTTTGTTTTGCTGTCCTCCTGTTCGCGTGTTTGTCAGCATGTTTGATTTGTGGGCAACTGTGGCCAGGCTATTCTGGGTATCAGCCGCACCTGCAGCGAGGAGGAGATTAAGCAGGCCTATAAGGCATTGGCTCTCAGGTGGCCTGGCAGCACCCTCAGCTATTTCCTGCGTTGACAGACATGTGACATGTGGCCTGACTGAAACTTCTCTAGCGTGTTCATGTGGGTCGTCTCACTCACTTTGTTTGCTTCTGCCAGTGCCAGGATGGATTTGATTTGTTTGGCCTCTGAGGCACCATCCCGACAAGGCAAGCGCTGTCAGATTTGCTGGTTTTGCCGCTGCGACCAGCGGGTCAGGTGCTGGATGAGAATCATCGCCGCGAAGCCACAGCTCGTTTTCAGGCGGTCGAGGGTGCTTTTTGTTCAGAAGAGTTGGCCTGGGGCATCTTTTGCCAGGAGATCCAGGCTGCATTTGAAGAGCTTTGCAAGGGACACCGCAGGCCGTGTTCTGCGACTGGCTTGTTGCGATCGGGCTGCTTGCAAAATGGTACCCGAAATGCCACCCTGGTAAATGGAAGCAAAGACCAATACCCGCGCAACCCTAGCTGAATTTTGAGCCACACCCAGCTTTGCACATGGCTCACCATTTCTCACCATTTCGCCAATTCCAGGATGGATCTGGCCAGGCGCCAAGCACAGCATTGCCCACGTGACTGAGCACTGTGCGAGCAGGTCGTACCCTCCCGCACGGAGCTCATGAGCGCTTGCGAGCGTCTGGGACCTTGGTGCCGCACAGATGTGCATCCTACAAGGCACCCAAACCAGCCAGCGCCCACAACGCTTTTTCCGGAATCCAAACAGAATGTCCGGGATGTGCCTTGGTTTCTCTTTAATTTCCATTGGCTCTAAGAGGTTTTTTTTGTTGAGGTGGGGAGCTGCACCTGGCCCGGCAGCTGCTCTCTGAGGTGAACCTGCAGGAGAGATGCACAGGGCGTGTGTCGCCGATTCCATGAGAGTCTTGGCGTTTGTTCACACATGTCACGCATCTTTAGCGTCGCTTTTGTTGGCTGGTGTTGATTGGTTTGGTTTCCTTGATGTGTTCGTGTGCTTGGTGCGGTCAGACGGAACGTAGTTATGCTGGGCATCGCTGGAACCAAGCGCAGGCGATTCATTTTTTTTCAATTGTCAGATCATCCAAGGGTAACTGGGCTGCCTGGCGCATTTGGCAGGCATTGGCTGTGCCCCTCTAGAACGGTGCCATTTAGAAAAGTTTGCACGTCCAGCAATCATCCCCGACCTTGAGGCGGCTATCCCCCACAGGCGCTTAGTGTGTCAAATCCTCCCAGACCTTGGGGCTGGTGTGCCAGGATGCGCTTGTCTTGCCTGCAGAGCCCCATCCGACAAGTTGTACCTGCTAACCCTTGACTGAGACTGCTGTGCTTGGATGGGCCTTTTGCGCCAAAGCTCATTAACGACGCTGCAGACGAGCTCTTGGTGCAGCCAGCGTTTTCCTCTGCGCATGTCGCGCCTGCGCACCCGTCATTATGAGCCTGGCAGCTTGTGGTCCCGAGATGTGGCGACGTATGTAATCGGTGGCTGCCAAAATGGACAGGTTGACTTTTATGGTGCAAATAGAAAAACAAACAATGCCACGAACTCCGAAACACCTTCATGCCAAAGAGCAGGGCGGACGGGCTTTGAGCGGTGCAGGACAGTACTGGCCGCACCGCGCTGATGTTCGCAGCCCAGGCGGCCCAAATCGAGGCAGGGCAGGCCAATGTTTGACCAGCCTGCGAGGCAGAACCATTTCGCGACCAAAAGACAGATGCACGTTCGAACAAAGCAGAGAAAAAAAGCCAGTACAGACAGGAGGAGACAGGAAGAGACAGGACAAGACGGGAAGAATGGGGAAAAAGACTGGTTCTGAGAGTCCCTAACCAGTTCCTCTCCACAGGATTCGATCCGACGGTGCGCGGCAGGTGATCCAGCTCCTGCTTGAACACCATGCAGATGTGCAGAGAAGGAATTGCGCTGGCCACACCTGTGCCGTGGCCTCACTGCCTTGCCTCAAAGCGCCTACGTTGCATCGCAAAGCGCCTACTTTGCTCCTTAGGTGATGTTTGCAGTGGGTGCCGGGCTGAAGGCCTGGCGCTATGATCGCGTTGCATTCTGCTGCACGACTCTTTGACATGCAAAACAAGCCGCTGAGCTTTTGAGCTGAGATACCATCGTGTGTAGTTCGCAGGTGGAGAGCCCTCAAGATGAGCGCGCTTTGCGACATTTGCAAGCCGTACGCATGCTTTTGGACGAAGGCGTGTCGCAACCACTCATTTTGGCAGTTCCCTTGGAGACAAATCCGTGCCTTGCAAGGTGCGCCAGTCAATGGCAGCACCGGTTATGGCCTGTCTGCGCTGATGCTTGCAAGTACTTCAGGCGCTCCGCCAGTGCTGTTCTGAAAGCCGGTGCTCATCAGTTGGCGTTGAATTTCAACGTTGGGAGCACCCAAACCGTTTGATTTTGGGTGCATAGACCCCATGTTAAGGATACCGGGTTCTCCAAATGGAATGGTTTGGAGCGACCCGACCCAGGGCGTATCAACATGATGGAGCTCTTGCTGGACCGCGGGGCGGATGTGAACATGGCTTCAGAGTCTTGGAGTTTGAGACCATCCCTCGCTGGAGCAAAGCAAACCAGCACTTTGTCAACAGCCTCAGCATAGTGCCCGAGTTTTGCGCTTCTCCCAGCCGAGGACATTGGCCTGACTGCGCTGGTCATGGCCTCTGACAAAGGCCGATACACCCCGCTGAGCCCTTTTCTTGGCAGGCATTGTGAGTGCTTTTTCCTAAAGGACCACCTCCTTTATTGGTATTGGGCTGGTCCTTGGAGGGAAACACTGGCCAACCACTCTTGCGAAGGGTCAGCTTGAGGAAGTATCCTGAAGCTGACAAAATGGTGAAGAAGTGACAGTGTTGCAATTGGTGGCAGGCCACACAGCAGCCGTGCGGCTGCTGCTGCAGCGGGCAGCTGACGCGAACGCGCGGTACGCGTTGCTCGGACAAGACCGGATTCGCAGGATTCCGTGGTGGGTTCCCGAAGACAGAAATCATTCCGCAAGGAGTCCTGCAACCATAAACAATGTTTCCCACCTTGCCAGATTTGCACCATTTGCTTTTTCTCCGAATCGGTTGTCAGGAATGGCAAGACCCCGCTGATGTCTGCAGCAGCACAGGCGTCACCCTGCCTGCAACTAGATGCTTCCAGCTTCGACTACAGGTGTGCTGAAACCCAGGTTGTGTTTTGTTTTCGCGTTTAGAACTTTAACCCTTAAACTTGTTGGCAGGTAGATGCGTCTTCACTAAACAGCCAAACATCAAAGTCAGGTGGTCGAGGATCAACCCAGAAGCTAGGCAATCCCTTTTGCATCGTCGTACAAAAAGGATTCACCACTTTTTGTGCTTGTAGCCTTCAGAGATTCGCGCCGGCACCTCTGGCAGCCATGCCTGAAAGCGCAACGCTTCATGCTCCCAGGTACTCGGGCGTTGTTGATGCCTTGCTAGAGCACCACGCTCATGTGAATGCACAGTCCGGCGATGGTCACACTGCGCTCTTGCTCCTCGGTGTATTGGATGCTCGGGTCTTGTGGGACCGAGTTGCGGGCCTGATTTGAGGTACGCTGTTGAGATGCAGCTGAAGGACCTGGCTCGTGCGTTGAGAGATTGCATGGAATGCGCACGTGGTGAACCCTTAGGAGCCGCAACACCATTGGACAAGCCAAACGCCCGGCGTTCCTCAAAATAAAATTATGCCTTGACATTGCAGGATGGCCTGGTGTGTCCTGTGGAAGGCGCCGTGACAAAACCCCAGGTGCAGGCGGGCTAAACCGGTGATTTTTTCTTTCGCGACTTGCCTGGAGGCGTCCCATCACCATGAGTCCCATGTTAGTGTTCACGGAAAACACAACATGCAGCTTAGCATTACTGTTCAGCCCCACGAATAATTGAGATCACTGACATGGTATTAGTTCCCTAGTTCAGGTTGATTGGGGACCTGCCCCAATCTAAATCTTCAGGGCGGCCATCCCTGGTATTCATTTTGGGAACCCTCCGTGACTAAGGAGAAAATCAAGACCTCAATTTTTGTAGGTTCGCTGCAGCCCAAGTGTCAAGCCAGGACACAGTCCGGATCTTGCTGGCTGCCGCCACGCGGTTTGCACTGGAGACAGGATCTTCTCATAGGCAAATTGGAGACCAGGAATATTTTTCCCGGTTTTGACCCGTACCAACTTGACCAAGTAAGGGCCATCCAGATTGCTACCTGCGCCCAGGCTGCTGAGGTCAACTTGAAGGGCCCAAGGCCTGGGACTTTTGATGCGCAGGTGTCAACTCAAGATGTCCGGCTGTGGAATTTGTTGATCCTTTCAGTGCAGGGCCAAATCTTGCTGTTGCCATCTGGCCCCAAACTCTCGAACTGTGCTCGATGTCCAGTGCTCCTGCAATACATCGAGCCTCAACGGCATCTCGTGACAAGAAACATGGGGGCACATCACGAGCTGTTTGCCACAAGACACATCTTTAATGGGGGGCCATTGACACCACACCAAAGCCTATGGACCTTTTGCATCCTTCTGCAACTTGTTGCCACGCTTGCCGCCCGCATCGCAGGGGCCGCTCGGCGCTGCATGTGGCCGTGTGCAGCAGCGCGGACCTGGCCCAGCGATTGGTGGCGGCCAAAGCAGCCGTCACAGCAAAGGATGAGGAGCCCAGCAGTCAAGAAGCCACATTATGGCCATGCGTCAAAATCCCGTACCCCCAGTGAACATCCCAATCCCCACTAAAATGGAGTAAAATGGGTGGTGCACCCACCCCAAAATGGTACCATTGGTTTTGACCCACAGCCACATGTCGAAGGCAAGCACAACCAGTCCAACGAATGTTTCTGTCTATGAGAGGAGTGAGCTGGAATATTAAGCATCAAACAGACAGATGGCGAACAGAGCTTAGGAACTTCTTGTATTCTTTGCGCTCACTGCTTCCATGGTTTAAGTCTTGTGCAGGAGGGGCAAACGCCACTGACTTTGGCTGCAGAGCGGAACATGGATATAGGCCTTTCGCGTCGGGGGCTCGTCATCCGTCAGTGCACCTCGTATTGTGCGAAATGGCTGCGGGTCAAAACCAATGGTACCATTCTGGGCAGGTGCACCACCCATTTTAGTCTATTTTAGTGGGGATTGGGATGTTCACTGGGGGTACGATTTGGGTTTTGACGCATAGCCGCATAGCCAAATGTGTAATTCGTGCGTTCCGCACAGCGAGGTCTTCCAGCAGTTCACCACAAGCAGCACGGACCCGAGCAGTACGTGTTGGCAGTCAGATATGTGCTATTTGACTCTGCATCAAGGATAGAAGCCTTCGCAAGTAGCTTCCATTTGATTCCCTTTGAACTTCGAACTCATTGTTTTTTGGGCAGCTCCGAATCCTTACCTTTCTCGGCTAAGGCTGGGCTGCTTCTCTGCATCTCAACCGCATTGGTTTTGTTTGGCTGCCATTCCAAGCCAAGCTTCGAGGCCTGTGCCTGCTGGCGATTCCTTGCCTGAAGCAGACCGGCGGTTTGGTTTCGTGGCGCCTCGGGCGTGCCAAAGGAAAGAACTGCGGCGAGGGAGGGCGAGGAGTGCGGTGCTCTTGGGTCTGGGTCAAGAGGCCGTGAAGCCATTGGGCTGTGAGTCAAAACCAATGGTACCATTTTGGGGTAGGTGCACCACCCATTTTAGTCTATTTTAGTGGGGATTGGGATGTTCACTGGGGGTACGATTTGGGTTTTGACCCATGGCCATAGAAGCTGCTTGCACGTTCGGCATAACCTTCATGTCGGACACTGCGACGTGCCTCTCAAGTGGGGAGGGCGAATCGGCGAATCCGCCGTGCCGAAGGCCAGAGCTTGGATTTCCTCGTTTGGAAGGATCACACATTTCACATTCCACTTTCATGTCCAAAGGTTTCCCCTCAAATGGCCATGGGTCAAAACCCAAGTCGGTTAGCCCCCAGTGAACATCCCAGTCCAACCACTAAAATAGACCAAAATGGGTGGGGTACCTACCATTGGCTTTGACCCACCCAAGTGGTGATATGTTTTTTCCACGTTCCCTGCCTCATGCCCTACAGGCATGGCAAGAGAGCCGGCAGTGTGAAGAGCCAAAGGCGAGGGTTGCGAGTTGCGCGCATGAGCTTCACCGGACGTGGAAAACTGGGCTTCCCTCTGTTCATGATTATTAGCAGGACGGCAACAGGAAGCGACTTCTTCCCTCCCAAAATGCTGGCGGCTCCCTGCCAAAACGGCGCCGTTGTATTGTAAGCTTGTCCAGGTATGCGCCTTCATGTGCAAGCATCGGGAATCTCCGAGGGCCTTCTCACGGCTGCAGCCTTGGACATTCCGTGTTTCCATGTAATCTCCAGTTTTGGGACGGGGCAGATTTGCTTGTGTGCTTGCCTTTGCTCTTTCCTCGAATGGAGAGAGTTCTAATGAGTGATCCCCCATTTTCCAACAACAATCCTATACCATGGGTCACACCGTTCTCCATAAACAAAATTAGTTTGGGACATTGTTTTTGCACTCAAACTCCACAAATCCATATTGAACTCAACCTGACTATAGTTTTGGCTTATGGCGTGCAGTTTCACGAGCTGAGCTGATTATCATGGATTTACATGTGCAGTTCCTGACTTCACAACACCGCGCGCCAGAGGTTTTCTCGGCATGCGCATACCAGCATTCTCCGCGCATGCAGCCACGCTCCGCCGCATACGGCCGTGCCCCACGCGCGCCAGCTGTGCGCCCTGTGCGGGCGTGCTGCGGCCACTGGCCAACCCATACCACTGTGCTCCGGGCACGCGCGTAACATTCTAGGAACGTTCGCCCGTCGCCGGTTCCTGTTTGTTCCACGCGTCTGAAAAGAAGTAAAACGCGTGGTGTATGTTACTAGTAGGAGAATGGGTCGGGTGGCGCTTCTGATGCACAGGCGCGCCACTTTGGCGAGTCACGCGTGCCGCCGTTCTTGAAGCACTTTTCGGGAGCCAAAAAACGTCCGCGGCAGTCTCTGGCGCCCCGGCGCGCGCAGAATGGAGAATGCGCGCCGAAACGGGGGCTGACAGGCGACACGCTGGCCGCGCGACCGCCGAGTTCCGCGCATGCCACACTGCTCCACGTATACCACGGTGCTCCATGGGGCGCTTCGGCAGCAGTAGGTTAGCGTGCGTCAGGGGCGCGCCCACGTTGTCGGGCAAGAATGAAACTACTTATGTGCGTGCGCGTGCCTGTGCAAGCGTGTGCACACGTGTCGCGTGCCCACAAACACATGCACACACTTCCTGAGCTTGGCGGGGTGACGGGTGGGGGACCTTTTGGAGATTTGCTGATGGGTGCCCGCTTGGCGGAATTCTTCTTCAAGCTTCACGAACCCAAGAAAAACATCAAAATCTGCACGAAGAAGGGTTAGCTTTGGCGATTGGGCAGGGTGTCCTTAGAAGAGTGTTCCCTTCCCGCGGTGGCGCTTCTCATCTCTCCGCCCAGGCAAAGTGCGGCAGCGTGAAGCGCCAGCACGTTCTTCATGGCGCCAGCGAGGCGCCTCGAAAGAGAGCAGGTCAGCCGAAGACGGTTGTCAAAAAGGAAACCGCCCACGCGCCACCCCACTTCCCAGTTGCGTGTGGGAACGGTCTCATGTGGACAAATCCACTCGTGGAAATGCATGTTGGACCATTTTTGCTCCAACAACCGGCCTTCGGCCGCAGAAAGCATTGGCCTGCCTCAGGCGCCCTTCCAGCTGTCCTTGGTGAAGCCGTGCTTCCCCCAATCGCTGGAGCTTGGGATTGGGCTAGGCTGCACCGTGCGTCAAGACATAGCCACCCTGTTGATTCTTCAGGGAATCTCAACATGACCTGTGAACAGGACCCTAGCATACAGTATTTTTGGTTGGTGTACAAGCTCTGGGCCCTTTTTTCCTTTGGGCATTAAACGGGTCTGCAGTGTTCGCACCTCGATGCAAAATGCAGTTCGGAAGAGGAAAATCGTGCCAGAGGGAAGTTCTCAGACGTGTCTGCTGGCAAATCGATTGTCGCTTCCCTCAGGCTTCAGACGGGCACACGGATGTGCAAATATGCCTATACCGTCCCAAGTCATCCAATCAAACACAAGCCCTTCACCTGGAATGCCCTCATGAGGCTCGTCAACCTGGCAAGCCAGGGCTTTAGACAGAGTCATCTGTCTTTTTTGAGTTTTCTTTTGCTGGGAGGGGGGGACCCCAGAATCACTTTTGAAGGCCGGCACGAAACCCTTTCCAATAGGGGGGTCCAACTCGTTTGGACGACATGTCCCTTCCTTGCCGGCACTCTTCTCAAAGGAAGGGCGGGGTGACCTCAAGCAATATTGAACAAACAACACACCATCAAGTGACGTGTACAACCTAAGGTGCCCCTCTGAGGTGTTTATTTGGGCGTTGGTTTCCCTTCCAAACCACAAGAAGGGTACTCAAAAACGAGAGCCACATTCATAGCCGCCTTTTCAAGCGTCCAAAAGGGGATCCCTATTTTCGGAGCACAGGCAGCTGACTGAGGCCATTGCCGCTGGAGATCGAGGCTTCGGTGCGGCGGGGCAAGCAGTGCCAGGCGCGCAAATGCAAGCATCGCGAGTGATTCCACTTCCCTGTATGGGGGGGGCAACATTTGGTAACCAAGGGAACCAACCCGCAAAAACCACAAGGAAAATGGCAGACGACCCATTGGAGCTGGCCTTCAGCAAATCGGGGTTGCCGTTTGTCATCGGCTATGATTCTGGGGAACATCTTCAAAAATAGTTTGTGCGCTGAAACCCTAAATGATGTCCATCAAAGGATGTCCATCAAAGGGTCCAACCAATTGACATACGAATACCCACATCGAGAAATGCCAGCATCGCATGGAGCATCGCACGAGTCATGGTGGCATGTGTCAAAAGCAAATGGACTCGTCTAAAGCCTCCGCTGAAAAGGAGTCCAAATGATTTTGACAGCCAAGCCAATTTGTGCTTTCGGAGGAGAGCCTCGTGCAGAGCCGCCAAGCGGATGGCCTTTACAAGGCCCTTTGCGCAATTTGTTTGCTGTGACCATGGGTCATAACCTATGCCTCCATTTTGGGCGGATGAACACCCATGTACCACCGTTTTTTTTTTTCGTTCACCAGGGGTTTCCCGGGTTTTGACCCACCGCCATGTGCATGCCCGTAGTTTGCTCATGGCTTGAGCGGCACTTGCCAAGGTGCCACTTCGTGGTAAACATGGCCAGCGCATGAGCGCCAGACACCTGAAATGAGAGCCGGCCGAAAGGCATCGAACGTCAGCGTGTCATCGTCCACACTCTGGAATCGCTTGTCCCCGGCGACGTTCGCTCGACCTTCTCAGTGTGGTCAATTTGGATTTCGGGTCTTGGGGGCTCGAAAAGAGCCCTCAAAAGCCGGGGGAGAAGGCCTTATCTTCCGTTGCTCAGGTCACCTTTCGCGCACAGCCACTGAGCAAAGCCGCCGCCTGAGAAAGGTCAAGGCCATGCGGCATTGAAGTTGCACCGAGCTTTTTTGCTTAGGCAGAGAAAGCAAAGCAAGCAAAGGCGTGGCGCAGAACGCGTGTCACCGGCATGGCTGTTACAAGCCAGGAAGACCGTGCCGATGCTTACTTTCAAAAGCATGGATTGTGCCATCCTCAGCCTAGACTGTGCACGTTGTGTTCCTGCGGGTGTCGCTGAGGAACGAATTCCTGAAGGGTATGTTCGACCGACTCGCTTCGGAGCAGCCCGAGGACACTATTTTGCTATTTTCTGGTTGGCCTGGGCATTTTGATGGGGCCAGTGGAGATGTTTGCAAAAATCAAGTATGGGGTAGCTGAATGCGGGCGTCAGCTGCGGATGCGTTTAAAGGGGTTGTGCATTCTGCCGTGCTTCAAAAGGTTGGGTGCCCTTGACTGTCATTCTTTTTGCATGCTTTCGTTTGGCCCCCCCCCCTTCAGGATGTTTCCTTGTTGGTTTTGCGCTTGACCATCCCAAGGTTCCAGTTTGAGGCACTGACGTTTGGTTGCCCCGCAGGATCCTTACAGCTTCTTGAGGCGGGATTCTGAGCCATTCGCCGACTGATCTTCCTTTCCTTTCTTTTTCTTTGGCCAGGGAGCTCTATGCTGACGCTGCCAAAGCTGAACGTGGGGAGGCGGGAAAACAGGCCTTGCAAAACACACCACGTGCCACAGGAGCCCCGCACGCTGCCCTTTACAGTGGATTTCTGAGTCTAAGCTATTGATTTGGGCTCTTGTCTTGAGCTGTGCGTGCTACAGAGATGTGGGCCACAGCCAAGAATCAGGCTAGTTCACAAACAGACATTTTGCCACCGGTGCTTGTCACAAGCATTGGAAGAGGGAGTTCCCGCTGTTTCCCCTCCTTTTCTAGGGGTTGATTCCCCCTTCTTTTCAGCCATCCTTCTTTTCAAAAGCCGTTTCCCCGAGTTTTTGGATGGTCTCCTGAGAAGATTCGGATCCCTGGGGTCAGAATGGACATGGGGAAGGTAGCCCTAGACCTCCGGGCTTCTGGACCGGCCAGGGGCAAGGGAATGCCCAGACGTGCCCTCCGGCGCCTCGGGCCAGATCTAAGGGGGAAAACCGATGAGCGTCGAGCAAGACTCGATGCCCAGGTCCGCAGTTGTTTTCTTATTATGGTTGTTGATATGGTTGTTGATATGGTTGATATGGTTGTTGTTGATGATTGTTGTTGATGATTGTTGTTGATATGGTCATCACTTGTTTGTTTGAGTTGATGTTGTGTGGCAGTAAGTTGACAGCATCTTCAAGCGTTGCTTGAGAAGGAAGGATTGTAGCGGCTGTGCTAAACTTGCTTCCGGTCTCCTGACGAGGTCACATTTAAAGGGTGGCGAGAGTCACTGGACCTGTCAAGAAGCTGCGCATTGCACATCTGAGGCTGAGGCCGAGGAGCCAGCAGTGCTGACTGAACCTGCAGCAGCAGAACCATCAGCGGTGACAGCTCAAGTGCCTTGGCAGAAAATGGGAAAGGGGATGGCTGTGATTTGCCTGGCAGAATGGTAGCGTTTCGTGTTGCCGGCATATTCACCTACAACTTGTTCCGCGGTCCGCATTCTTGTCGTTGCCCTTTGACATTCGTTGAGCCTTGCCCACAAGAAAGCAGTCTGGCGTGAGAACAAGCAGCAAGCTACGACGGCAGCCAAGTGGTGTGATCCAATGACTGTTGGGGATGGTGTGGTATGAAGAATGTTGTCTTGCTCTTGAAGTTGCCCTGCTCTTAGCTGCATTTCTGGCAAATCTGAGGCTGAAGCAGAAAAGCCAGCAGTGCAGACTGAACCTGTGCAGTCAAAACCTGATGTGGCAGCGGATTCGTCTGCGACAGTGGCAGCTCAAGTGCCTTGACTGCATAAGGGATGGCTGTGAACTGCGCTGGGCGTTTTGTGTAATGACATGGCCTCATCTTTTGCCTACAAATGTCTCTGCGGGGCCGCGTGCTTGTGATTGCCGTTCGAATGTGTTGGTGCCATGCCATGGTGCGCGGCAGTGAATTTCTGGCATGCCGTGGTATGATGTTGTCGTGCTCTCTGACATTGACAATCTTTTGCAGTGCTGTAGCCCTGTTCTTGGCTGCATTTCTGGCAAACATCTGAGGCTGGGGTGGAAGAGCCGGCAGTGCAGCCTCAGCCTGATGTGGCAGCGGATCCGTCTGCGACTGTGGCAGCTCAAGTGCCTTGGCTACATAAGGGGTGGCTGTGACTTGCGCTGTTCGTTTTGGTGCAATCGCATGGCCACAATTGCTCTGCGGTCGGCTTGCTTGTCGTTGCTTTCTGAAATGTATGGTGCCGTGCCAAGAACAGCAGTTTGGCGTGAGTACAAGCAGCAAGCTACAACGGCAGCCAAGTGGTGTGATCGCATGACTGTTGGGGATGGTGTGGTATGAAGAATGTTGTCTTGCTCTTGAAGTTGCCCTGCTCTTGGCTGCATTTCTGGCAAATCTGAGGCTGAAGCAGAAAAGCCAGCAGTGCAGACTGAACCTGTGCAGTCAAAACCTGATGTGGCAGCGGATTCGTCTGCGACAGTGGCAGCTCAAGTGCCTTGACTGCATAAGGGATGGCTGTGAACTGCGCTGGGCGTTTTGTGTAATGACATGGCCTCATCTTTTGCCTACAAATGTCTCTGCGGGGCCGCGTGCTTGTGATTGCCGTTCGAATGTGTTGGTGCCATGCCATGGTGCGCGGCAGTGAATTTCTGGCATGCCGTGGTATGATGTTGTCGTGCTCTCTGACATTGACAATCTTTTGCAGTGCTGTAGCCCTGTTCTTGGCTGCATTTCTGGCAAACATCTGAGGCTGGGGTGGAAGAGCCGGCAGTGCAGCCTCAGCCTGATGTGGCAGCGGATCCGTCTGCGACTGTGGCAGCTCAAGTGCCTTGGCTACATAAGGGGTGGCTGTGACTTGCGCTGTTCGTTTTGGTGCAATCGCATGGCCACAATTGCTCTGCGGTCGGCTTGCTTGTCGTTGCTTTCTGAAATGTATGGTGCCGTGCCAAGAACAGCAGTTTGGCGTGAGTACAAGCAGCAAGCTACAACGGCAGCCAAGTGGTGTGATCCCATGACTGTTGGGGATGGTGTGGTATGAATAATGTTGTCTTGCTCTTGAAGTTGCCCTGCTCTTGGCTGCATTTCTGGCAAATCTGAGGCTGAAGCAGAAAAGCCAGCAGTGCAGACTGAACCTGTGCAGTCAAAACCTGATGTGGCAGCGGATTCGTCTGCGACAGTGGCAGCTCAAGTGCCTTGACTGCATAAGGGATGGCTGTGAACTGCGCTGGGCGTTTTGTGTAATGACATGGCCTCATCTTTTGCCTACAAATGTCTCTGCGGGGCCGCGTGCTTGTGATTGCCGTTCGAATGTGTTGGTGCCATGCCATGGCGCGCGGCAGTGAATTTCTGGCATGCCGTGGTATGATGTTGTCGTGCTCTCTGACATTGACAATCTTTTGCAGTGCTGTAGCCCTGTTCTTGGCTGCATTTCTGGCACATCTGAGGCTGGGGTGGAAGAGCCGGCAGTGCAGCCTCAGCCTGATGTGGCAGCGGATCCGTCTGCGACTGTGGCAGCTCAAGTGCCTTGACTACATAAGAGGTGGCTGTGACTTGCGCTGTCTTTTTTGATGCAATCGCATGGCCACAATTGCTCTGCGGTCGGCTTGCTTATCGTTGCTTTCTGACATGTATGGTGGGTGCCAAGAACAGCAGTTTGGCGTGAGAACAAGCAGCAAGCTACGACGGCAGCCAAGTGGTGTGATGCAATGATTGTTGGGGATGGCGTTGTATGAAGAATGGTGTCTTGCTCCTGTGCGTTGAAGATCTTTTGAAGTGCTGTAGCCCTGCTCTTCGTTGCATTTCTGGCAAGAATCTGAGGCAGCAGTGCAAACTGAACCTGTAAAGCCAACACCTGATGTGGCAGCGGATTCGTCTGCGACGGCGGCAGCTCAAGTGCCCTTGCCGCATAAGGGACGGCCATGATTTGCCTGGTGAAGTTACCCAAGATAGAGATGTCTCCAAGCTTTGTTCGTCTAACACATTATGCGATTTCATTGGTTTTCGCTGCTGGGGGTTATGCCCAGCAGCGAGTTCTGCGTTGGTTATGATCAAGAGGAGTTTAGAAGAGGTGCCGTGGCGTATATTGAAGTATGCCCATGCGTGTGGCAGGGGGATTTACAGGTCAAAGTGCGCTTTCTCAGAGTTTCGTGTTGTCCCGCACAGCAAACTCTGGCGGCCCGGTTTCGCGTTGTGAATGGTCTGCAGACGTTCAGCGGGTTGAGAATTCCCTCGTGCACTCCGCTCACGCAATTCTCTGTGGACTTTGGCGGCGTCAAAGCCCAAAGCTTTCTTTCTCTGCATGAATGCGGTTGACGATCGAACACCATACCTTTTCCTTTCGTTCCTGTAAAACGAAGCGATTCTGAGAAGACCAAAGGAAGGCATGATAAAGGAACGTGAAACAGCAAAGAGCAAGAAGCAGAGGACCAGAAGAAATAGCCACAAAAGAGCAATAACACAATAGCCTACAAAGAATTACATACAGAACCACCGGCAGGAAAGAAGGAAATAAGGGCAGGGACAATATCATAAAACAGTACATAAAGAACGCAAAGACCCATGACGATCAAATTGCCGCACCATAGAAAGCCTGTGCTTTCAAGTGCACCCCGGCAGCTTCCATTCGGCTTCCCTCTTATCAAATACCTTCAGAAAAGGTGTTACGTCCCCTTTCTATGGGTATGTCGCAACACAGGGGAACCCCTATTTCTTGCTCCCGGGTATGTTTGTATATTTATGTACCCCCAGGGTAGGAACACCAAATTAGGTGTTCTCGTGGCTTCTGCTTAAAGCTACCCTCCAAAAAAGTCAGACCCCACGCGCTGTGGGCAGAGGAAGGTGGCCTCAGTGCGGAAAACACCCAGCGAGGTTTGCGCCCAGCCCTGCGCTCGAAGATATATGTATATAATATATATATATACATATATATATATACAAGTACAAAATGTTGAGAACGCACTGTAACTTACAGTGTTTTATTGCATACCACATTCTAGGTGTGGATCATGGGGGGGGGGGTGACCATACATATATATATATATATATAAAGAGCAAAAAGGAAGAAAGCGCGGAAGGAAGCCAGCCGGCAGCCAAGCAAGGACGCAAGGGAGAAAGGCGCAGGAAGGAGGGACCGAAGGCAGGAATGAACGAAGGAATGAGGAGGAAAGAAACATAAAAGAAACAAACACACGACAGAATGGAACACATGAATGACGGACATGGAATAACACAATAAAGACGCCGCTAGCTGAATGACCACAGACACAAAGAAATGAGGACAGCAGCCATAGAAACAATGGGATCGATAAGGAAGCACTGTATTAAAAAAGAGTAACATACTAGGAGAACAGGAACACACAAGCAAACAAACAAACACATACACACAGAAGCAAAGAAAGCAAGCAAGCAAGCAAACCAACGAACAAACAAACAAGCAAACAAACAAACAAACAATCAAACAAACAAACAAACAAGCAAGCAATCAAGCAAGCAAGCACGCAAGCACGCAAACAAGCAAACAACCAAGCAAACAAGAACACAAGCAAGTAAGCAAGCAAGCAAACAAACAAACGAACAAACAAGCAAGCAAGCAAGTAAGCAAGCAAGCAATCAAACAAACAAACAAACAAGCAAGCAAGCAAACCAAAACAAAGAAACAGACAGACAGACGGACAGACAGACAGACAGACAGACAGACAGACAGACAGACAGACAGACAGACAAGCAGGCAAAAAATCAAACAAACAAATCAAGAAAGAACGAAAGAACAAAAGAACGAAAGAGCGAAAGAACGAAAGAACGAAAGAACGAAAGAACGAAAGAACGAAAGAACGAAAGAACGAAAGAAAGAAAGAAAGAAAGAAAGGAAGGAAGGAAAGAAAGAAAAACAAGAAAGAAAGAAAGAAAGAAAGAAAGAAAGAAAGAAAGAAAGAAAGAAAGAAAGAAAAGAAAGAAAGAAAGAAAGAAAGAAAGAAAGAAAGAAAGAAAGAAAGAAATAAACAAAGAAATAAACAAAGAAAGAAAGAAAGAAATAAACAAAGAAATAAAGAAGCACACAAACACACAAACACGCAAACACGCAAGCACACAAACACGCAAAGCAAGCAAGCACACAAACACGCAAAGCAAGCAAGCAGGCAAGCAGGCAAGCAAGCAAGCAAGGAAGCAAACAAGCAAACAAACAAAATATCAAAGTAACAAACAAGCAAACAAGCAAGCAAGCAAGCAAGCAAAAGCACAACACACATACGCAAACAAAAGGGTACAAGGAATAAAAAACCACCAAAGACGAGTAGACAATGACGAAGTGCAAGGCAGCAAGAAATGAATCCATCAGTAAGTTGAAGTCAACCGTAAAGACATGTTCTCAAGCCAACTTGAATTCAGTTCAACCGAGGCCAGAGGTGTGTGTGTGTGTGCTTCTGGATCTGCCTTTGACCGCCAGAGGCAGCGACGTCCGTATCGCTGCAAGCGCCGGGTGCTCAGCAAGCTGCCCTTTCTCTTGGCATTGAGAAGCAGCGTGGTCTGTTTTGAACAAGGGGGCGCCGACGGCTGAGGCTGCGGCGGAAAGCAAGAGACGCCATTTCGAAGGGATACGTGGACGGGGGACTTGTGAATGCATTGCAGAAGCTCCCAGCTGCAGCCTCAGGGTAATTGGATGAATTGTTGTTGCTTGCTTGGAGCGCCAATAGCAAGCTGGTCGGCGTTCTCTCTTGGAGGCAGAAGAGTTTTGGCTAAGGCGTTCCAAGCAGCTACGCCCGGCAGTTTGCAGGGGTCCAAGGTTCAAAATTCAGATGCCTTTTGCATGGATCAACTGCCAGCATTGCAATCCGTTGGCACTGACGATACATGTATGTATGCGTATACGTATCTCTCTGAGTCTGCTAAGGCCTATAGCGCAGGGTGAGGCTCCTGTGAATCAGTCCTCTTCTGTGCGAGTGCCATGCCAGCAACAAGCGGGTTCACGGCGTTTCGGCATTTTCATGCTTTGGCGGGTTTGTCATTATGTTGCACGCACATGCCGCAAAGCACTGCACGGGTTCATTTGTACTGTGTAATGTGTTTGTTGGGATGACGTCGAATGAAGTGTGCTGAAGTGCCCTTGAGGCAGCAGTGCAGACTGAAGCTGTGCAGCCAACAGCGGATGTGGCAGAACCATTTGCAGTGGCAGCTCAAGTTCCTTGGCTGGAGAGGGGACGGATGGCCATATTGTTGCACGGGGACATGTCCTGCGATAGTAGAGCTGCCATGCCCGCAACAAACACGAATGTTTTTCCCCAACAGCTGAAAGCTTTGGGTCTCAGCCCAGATAGGCTCCGGGGTGGTCCGGGGCGGGTTCCACCAAAGTTCCACCAGGGTTCCACCAGGGTTCCACCAGGGTTCCACTAGGTTTTGCGGGGTGGTGCGAGCACTATAAAGAGCACGGCATGCTGTTGGGGATATCACCTGAGCTTATTGTGTGAACACGAGCAAAGTGCATGATGCCATCTTTTCGGGCATGAAGTTGATGGACGCAACGTTGCCATGGTTTGGAGAAAGTGCCAAATCTGAGGCGAAAGCTGAGGAGGCACAAGTGCAGACTGAACTTGTTCAACCAACTGCAACGTCAGCTGTGCCTTGGCTGCACTGGTGATGGCTATGATCTTTGGTTCTGCAATTTCTCGCGTTTAATCTGTTTTGTGTTGCTTTTGTGGATGCAATGGGTCTGGTGCTTCCACCGGCTTCAGTGGCCGCAGTGACTGCAAGCTGCAAAGCAAAGCACAGGGCGTGTGTTTGTGTGTACTTTTGGACGCCCCCTGCATTTGACCACCAGAGGCAGCGACGTCCGTATCGCTGCAAGCGCCGGGTGCTCAGCAAGCTGCCCTTTTCTCTTGGCATTGAGAAGCAGCGTGGTCTGTTTTGAACAAGGGGACGCCGACGGCTGAGGCTGCGGAGGAAAGCAAGAGACGCCATTTCTAAGGGATACGTGGACGGGGGACTTGTGAATGCATTGCAGAAGCTCCCAGCTGCAGCCTCAGGGTAATTGGATGAATTGTTGTTGCCTGCTTGGAGCGCCAATAGCAAGCTGGTCGGCGTTCTCTCTTGGAGGCAGAAGAGTTTTGGCTAAGGCGTTCCAAGCAGCTACGCCCGGCAGTTTGCAGGGGTCCAAGGTTCAAAATTCAGATGCCTTTTGCATGGATCAACTGCCAGCATTGCAATCCGTTGGCACTGACGATACATGTATGTATGCGTATACGTATCTCTCTGAGTCTGGTAAGGCCTATAGCGCAGGGTGAGGCTCCTGTGAATCAGTCCTCTTCTGTGCGAGTGCCATGCCAGCAACAAGCGGGTTCACGGCGTTTCGGCATTTTCATGCTTTGGCGGGTTTGTCATTATGTTGCACGCACATGCCGCAAAGCACTGCACGGGTTCATTTGTACTGTGTAATGTGTTTGTTGGGATGACGTCGAATGAAGTGTGCTGAAGTGCCCTTGAAGCTGAGGAACAGGAGCCAGCAGTGCAGACTGAAACTGTGCAGCCAGCACCGGATGTGGCAGAACCATCTGCAGTGGCTGTGCCTTGGCTGCGGAGGGGATGGATGGCCGTAGTTTGCGCAGTGACGTCCTGCGGTAGCACGGTTGCAAGATCTACCTATGAATTTCTCCGCGGTCTGTGGCTGGCATGCTTGTAAGCTACAACGACAGCCAAGTGCTACGCTGCAATTTGTGGTAAGCACCCTGCTGCGATGATTTTTGGGGATGGCGTGTGACGAATGTGGTCGTGCTCTCTGAGTGCCTTGACGATCTTTTGAAGTGCTGCAGCTGCAGCCCTGACGGCTGCATTGGCGAATCTGAGGCTGAGGCTGAAGAGCCAACACCAGCGGCAGCGGAACCGTCGGCAGATGAAGTGCCTTGGAGGGGATGGCTGTGATTTGTGCGGTCTCGAGCTCACACGCTGACATCGTAGGCTGACCGACTGATGGGCTTTCTGTGTGAATAGTTTTCCCCATCTGTGAAAGATCTCCGACACTTCTTTGCACATGTCCAAACATGACATCGTCGGTCTCGTGCCAGTGGCACCTTGTTTGTGGTATGTAATGAATGAATGCCGGGGCTTTGCTACATTCTTACATGGCCACCCTCCAACAATGGCAACTTCCAAAATGGACCTGACAGCAATTGCTACTATTACCCTAAACCACTCTTAATAGGACTGTTCTTATTCTTCAAAGGCTGCGCCCCACAGCGCTGGCTGTTTGATGCAGTTGGTGAGTGGGTTGGCAGAAGTAACAACTATTCTCCGCTGTGCCATTCCAACCCAATTCCCGGATTCCACAGCCAAAAGATCCGGGAAAGTGGTTCCCCTCTGGAAACCTCCGGGCGCGCCTCACTCGTGCCAGGGGCAAACTTTGAAGGACTTGTTCATGTTTTTGTTCACCGGTTTGCAGGGCACCGTGAAGCACTCGTTTTTGGTTGAACACTCATGCTACTTGTACCAGCCGTGCGTGGTGGCTGATGTCGGCAGCCAGCTGTAAAAGGCCCTGGGTGCAATCTAGGGCGTTCGCATTGGGCGGTTCTGCTGCCTTTCAGGGGTCTTTGCACAGGGATGAACGATCTCATTAAAAAATAATAAAAAAAAGTTAAAAAATAAAATAAAAAATAATAATAATTGTTTTTCATGGAAGCTTCTTGCTCAGTGCTGCGTTTGTTGAACAAGGCGGCTGCCAGGTGTTGGTAAAGCCAGTTTTTGACCACAGCGAACAATAGAGATGCTGTTTGTTCTGGCCGTACCACTTGGATCTGATGGGATTTGTGGTGTTGGTGATGCAGCGGATAGTTCAGCAACGTCGCTTCCACCGCTAAGAGAAGACACTGCATAAGATTTTGCTGCTGTCCGCGTGCGTCTTCGCGGCCTTTTGAGAAGACATTCCATTCTGGTCTGCCACGTCTGCCACTCCATTCTGGTCTGCAGTTTGGCATAATAAGGGGCATGCTACAAACAGCGTAAGCTGTGTGTGACGACAGATGTAATCAGTCGGGCTTGAAGCGCTTTCGAAATCTCTTGAAGTGCTATCTCGTCCTTCTGAATCTGAGGTTGTTGCTGAGCCAGTGGCGGAACCTGTGCAGCCAACGCCTGATGTGGCAGCAGGATCACCTGCAACGGGCCCGCCAGCTCAAGTGCCTTGGCTGAAGGGATGGCTAGATTCAGTTCGAGAGCTCTGTTTGCACATAGCTTTAGTGGCTTCGGTCACGACAGGCCACAGTGGGCCACGCTGGCCACAGTGGCCACAGTGGCCACAGTGGCCACGGTCACTCATGCAAGCTGCAACGAAAAACGTCAGAGGCAGCGACGCCCGTATCGCTGCAAGCGTCCCGTGCTCAGCAAACCACCCGTTCCTCTTTGAGGAGCAGCGTATGCTGCATCGAAGAAGGGTGCGCCGACTGAGGCTGCGACGGAAGGCACGAGACGCCATTTCCAAGGGGTACGTGGACGGGCGGCTTGCGACTGCATTGCAGCAAAACCCAGCAGCAGCCCCAGGGTGATTGGATGAAGTGTTGTTGCTTACGCCAATAGCAAGCTGGCCGGCGTTCTCTCTTGGAGGCAGCCGCTAAGCTTTGGCTGAGGCGTGCCAAGTAGCGCCTGGCAGCTTGCAGGGGTCCAAGCTGCATAGCTCAGATGCCTTTTGCCTGGTCGCAAGCTGCTAGCATTGAAGACACATCTCAGCCTGGTAAGGCCTTTGCCGGAGCATCGGACTTCTCGGAAGCCATCCCCTTCTCATCTGCGAGTGCCACGCCAACGACCACAAGATGTCTTGAAATGCTAACGAGTTCTTCTGCTTGATCTCTGGATTTGCTGCTGAAGTGCCCTTGTTCCGAATCTGAGGCGAACACGCAGCCAACGCCTTTTTTGGCGGAACCGCTTGTGACCTTCACAGCTCCAGTGCCTTGCCTGACAGAATGGCCGTCTTCGCTTGCCGTTTTCTCCGGTGAGCTGGAGCCGAATTTCAGGGGTCAGAGACGATATCGTTACACGCGCCCGGCGCTCAGCAGGCTGCCCTTTTTCTTTGAGAAGCAGCAGTGCTGTGGGGAATGACGACTTCTGTGATACAACAGAAAGGGCTTCCCAACGACTACTTTGTTCACAGAAAGGGGGATTCCCTTGTATCACAGAAGTGGGGAGAAACCCCTTGGTCCCACAACCCTGAGAAGCAGCTTTTCCACTTGTGCCGACAAATGGCGGAACGGCTGAGGCTGCGACGGAAGGCAAGAGATGCCATCTCTAAGGGATACGTGGACGGGCGGCTCGCGACTGCGTTGCAGACGCTCGCAGCGGTGTTGCCAGGGCCTTCACTTTGAACAGGTGTGCGTTTTCTGCGCATTTGTAGCCTTTGCGGTCGGCGCTTGGCACCTTTAATTTGCACGGATCCACGGGTAAGTTGCTTTGCTCGGCCCAGGCCTTCCGGTTTGAGTACGTTTCAACTGCCCACATTGACCCGCGCAGCCTGACGCCAAAGGCGAGGCACAGAGCGGCTCCCGAAGAAAGGCTTGGTCCAGGGGTTGAGTCATGGCAGATAGCGTACGCAAAGTGTCACATGGCCCATGAGTCAGTGAAGGAGGGGGTTGATGGGCCATGTCCGGGTTGGCATTTTGCTGGAAAGGGGCATAGAGCAGCTGACCATCCTGGATCGTTTGGCTCAAGGCTTACACGCAAGTCGGTTCATGAGACCAGCCAACGCTTCACTCAGCTTGCTTTGGTTTTGAGTGACCCGGCGATTGTCCCACCTGTTCCAGATGTTTGATACGTCTTGGGGCGTACCGAGATAAGACAGCCCTAGCAACACGGCAGCATTGTTACTGGGCATTTTTTCCCTTCTGACATAGAATAGCAACGCATGGACGGCCAATCCATCATAGTGCTGCGCACTGAGTGGATGAGCGGACAGGTGCGTCACATGCAATCGTATTTGTTAAGGAAGTGCCTTGTGCAAAACAAGCGACAGTCGGTCATTTGTTGACCTCTGCCAAGGTCGGATAGCGGCTCAAACTCTGAGGCATCGTCTTGAGCGGAATCTCCTTTTGCTTTGCTAGGTCGACCACCTCTCTGTTGCAACTTCGGTTTGAACATCTTAGTTCATTTGTTTTGGCAGACGCTTCGGAATTAACGCCCACTTCTTCCAGCATCCTCTTCGGGTTCTTGCCGATTTAACAATTCCATGGGCTTTTGGCCCTCAGGCGCTGAAGATCGGTGCGAAGTTCGGCTACCCCAATGACCTCTTGGAACTTGGCGAGGACGCAATGCAGGGGAGTCAGGCCCCCAACAGACATATGGCTATGAATTTAAATAAGGAACCCCCTGGAAAGTGGTTGGTGGACATACACCCTCACCTAAAATGATGTCCACCAGAGGGTCCCTAATTAAAATTCATGCTCACTCATAGTCTTCAATTGCGACCCCGTCAACAAAAAGGCATCAAATGTGCTTCAGCTTGAGTTCATGTGTTGCCTTGTGCACTGCATTCCAACTGCGTGTCAAACAAGCCGCCTAGAGCTGGGTGGCTTTCCCCAGGAGCTGGGAAGCGGTGCGGCCGCAAAGGCTGGGAAAGCTCAAAATCTGCGGAAGTTGTGCTATGAACCGGGGGCAAACTGCCAACACTTTGAGTTGGTTTGCCCGGAGGCTCGCGGATTGTGTGGGAGCGTGGCAGTAATTCCTGGCCAAGCTTCACTGGAGTTTTTGTGCAAGACATGTTTGCTGAATGGAGGGCTGCAGAGTCTTCGGATCTCCAAAGCCTTTGGTTTCTGTGAAGACTGCCAGAACGGGTGCCGCGACAGGCTTGTTAACAAAAAAAATCTGATCGTTAGCTCGGCAGCACTGAAGCGGTCATTGGCCTGCTGATGTTTTCACAGCGCATGGCCATGCCCGGTTTTTTCCTTTTCTGTGTGTATAAAATATCTGCATACACGTTTTTTACGCATAAATCGTCTGTGTGTGTGTGTGTGTGAAAGTTCGGAAGAATTCCAGATGGCTCGGCTCATGTTGGCCTAACCGCTCCCCCGAAGTGCAAATCGAAGACTTCCAAGCCAGTGGGCCAGGTCTACGTATGTAGGCGGCTGAACACCGGCGAGGAGCTGGCCGTCAAGGCCGGAAAGTAAAGGAGTCCTTCAGCCGAGCGTTTTACGCTGTAGTTTTGAGATAGGTCCACAAAGGAAAGGGCCCGCGCTTTTCGGGGATGCACAGGGGCTTCACCCTTGCGCTACACTACGCCTAGGGCACTTTTGGGGGATTGAGGAGACCTTTTGAGACAGGAGGGCATGATTCTGACAGCCCTCACATGCAGAAAGGATGGTAGGACACTCACTCAGATGAGCCTCAAACAATGTCAACATGCATACACTCGAAGCCTATGCCGAAACAGCTATCTGCAACTCGATGCCCTTGTGGGTTTTTTCATTTTCTCGACGTTCGGTGTTTGCTCAGACAGTGAGGTCATCAACCTCGCAAAGCTCAGACTGATGAATGACTTTGAAGGTCATATAGCTCGCCTGGCACGTTGATTCATGCCGGCACAGCTGTTTTGAGGCCGGGATGTCACAATGAGCCCTTGATCCCAGGATGTGGCATGTTAGAACGTTCCATTTTGCCGGGGATAAGAAGGTGGGGAAAGCAACGCGATGCGAATACAGGTGGCACTTGCAAGATCAACACCTTAGCCAGGTTGATGCTTGCAGCCGCTTTTAAGCTCTCGCGGCGTAGAGTGCATTTTTGAGAAAAGTCCCCGCCGCCTGGCGGCGCGTCTCCCGCGAGATGGCTGGGGCGCGGGCGGAGGACTGGCCTTCGGTGGCTGTTGACCCAACACCTGGCTATGGGACCTCCTCAAAATGGTTGGACTCAAAGCTCCAATGCATCGATGTCTGCCAAGGGGCCCCACTTCCAATGAAACATTATGCCCACGGCAGGATCAGAAGCAGCAGGGCAATGTGGTGCTCTATGCTGCCCAGTATGACTAAGTGGGCTCTTGCCTGGCAGACAGTCATGGTCCAATGAGAACCGGTGCAATGAGAATCGGTGCGAAAATCAATGAGAATCTCTGAGCGCGCGTAGATTGAAAGATGTTGGTTGCCAGTTCAATACCATTGTCTCAATGCTTGAAATCTCATGTTTGTATGCTCTTTTTTTTTTAAATGAACACACCAAATAGCGATACCACGATGCTTGAGGCTCCTTTTAGTGGTTGGGCAAATCGTACCTGAGACCATTACATTGCTATTTGGAGTGAGGTCCCAAATTGGACACGACATAGGCACATTCACCCAGCTCTACGTGCGAACGTCTGAGGTTGTCGTCGCGATCTACCTGGTCTTGCTTCTCGTAGTGGCCAAGATCGCCCACTCCAGAAAGAGAAGGGCCACAGCGAGCGCCGGTGAGGCCTGGACTCACTCGCGTTGAGAAGCTTTCGGGGCCTTCAGCGGTTCCCATGACCCATATGGGCTGTTTGCCTCGGTCAAAAAGTGATGTCCCAAAAGTAATCACTTGCTGCAGCCTCATTGCTTTAGGCCTCTTCCAAGGCTTTCGCACTTCTCAATGTACAACCCCACCACAAGCTTGCCTCGAATGCAGGAACTTCCAGGAGCCTCCCGTCAGGTTTCATGTTAGTAGGACACGTATTGTTTTGTCTATGCAGCTTTTGCAGGTGCAGGCTCACTTTGGGGGCTCATTTGGAGCGGCCACATTGCTCCTGACGACTTTTTCAACTGTCTACTCTGGCGCAGACCTCAGAATGTCAAAGCAGATGCACTCTGCCAGTAAGACTGTTGTTCCCCAAAAGGCCGAAGGGTCCAACTCATGTCGGCACCAGAATCTCTGCTTCGGGGCTTTGTGTCGTCCTTTGGTTTTGCCATTTCAGCCATGCCTGAGGTTTTACAGTCACTGGCATTCCCGACGAAGCATTTGACAAGGGCTTCGTATCTTTGAGATGGGTGGGAGCGACCCTGGTGATCGTGGCAGCCATGCTGCTGCTCTATCCCAGGCCGGGTCCAAACTTGCACCTACAGGTTCTAGAATTCCCCAGTCTCACTCAGGGATGGGTGATCAACCATCTTCCCGCTGAGCAAGTTAATTCAGGCTTCGACGATTGGCTGTGACCAGAGAGTACAAGAGCCCCATCGACTTCGTCTCAGACAGATATGGTACCATCCGGCTTCGCCTGCTATGTGCTGCCTGCGGAGTTGTTCCCATGATTCTAGGCTCATATGAGTTTGTCTTTAAATAAGGCCAACCCTCAGCAAGGGAAATTTTCTCTTGAGAACCGGCCTCCCAACTTGTCAAGATGTGGGGACGACCCCCAGTGCCTGCTTTTGAATCTCATGAGTCGCAAGCGACTTGACTGCCGGTTGAAGGCTGACTCAAGGCGTTCGTTTCCCAAGGATCATCTACATCACTGCGCAGATGCTCTCCTTTGCCGCGATGGTTCAGGGCATGACATTCCAGGTGATCCCCAAGTGGGCCTGCATCCTGGTCTTCATAGTCCTGATGCTGACTCTAGAAGTGCTGGGCGGGATGAACAGCGTGGTACTCACTGACGTGGTGCAGAGCACCGTGATGATCCTCTCCTTTCTGGCAGTGCCATTCTTCCTGGCCTTCGAGTATGGCTCCCTGCCTGACATGGGGCCTGCAGATTGCCCGTTTCTGATGAGCGTGTCGCCAAACGTGACGGACAGCTTCTCTGTGCCGGAGCAGTGCATGGGATCTGGGTGTGTGGCTGCAGGCTGCATCGCAGCAGTGAAGCCGGAGTTCTACGAGTTCCCAAGTAGGTCGACGCTTTGCGACGTGATCTTCTTTCTGATCAACATGCTTGCAGCCAGGGCCCTAAACCTTACGCATTCCCATAGCTTCGGATATGGGTCTGTTTCTTTGAGGTACCTTGTTTTTCTACGGGTTTCAAGGGAAACCAAAAGGAACACAACAATTTGGGAGTTCACCAAAAAAAGACGCACCCATATGAGCAAAAGGTTTGCCACAGACTTCAGGCGCCACTGCAGCCGCACATGGTGCAGCGCGCCTACATCGCCTCCAGCGATGCAAGCTTGCGCCTGGTGATGGCCGCGATGCTCTTGGCACCCTTCGTGGCACAGCCTCCAGGCGGGTGTTCTTTCTCTAGGGACCTTTTGGTGTCCTTCCAGCCTAGTCAGTTGTCAGGTACAATGAGGTACACGAGGTACAATTGTGCCCTGTGTGCAAGTGATTCGGAAACACCAGGCATCATCATCGGCCTCACCAAGAGTGCCTACGACCCTGCTTGGCCTTTAGTGGACAGGGGGGCGTCGGCCTTTTCGGCTGTGACGGCGCAACTGAAGATGGCCGGACCGATCCAATACTTTCTGGTGTCTTGGCTCTTCTTGGGACCGATCAATCTTTGAGTAGTTGTGCTTTTGGAGACCGTGCATTTCCAAGATGCTGCTGTGGTCTCTTTTGATCTTTTGAGATATTGAATTATATCGACAAGTTCGAAGCGTTTCCAAAGAGCGCAACGCAGGTGTCTGTCATGACATGCTCGACCCTGGCGGCGATCATGTCAACTGCAGACTCCGCACTGATGGGAGCTTCAAGCGTGGTCTCAATGGATGTCATCAAGGGGACGCTTCTGAAATCCTTATCAACCAAGAACGTGGTGAGGGCTGGAGAACTGACCTCCGGGATTGTCTGCGCGGTGTCTTTCGCGCTTGCCATGCTGTTGAGCAGTGACCAAATGGGCACGATCATCGTTTTCCAGAATGGCATGCTCATGCAAATGCTCCCGGCCTTCGGTTTTGGGCTCTATTTGAACATCGCGGAGCGTGCGGTCACCGGAGGAATTGCTGCGGGTCTGGTGTCCCTCTTGATCCTCTCCATTGCCGGCAATCCGCTCGATGATTATGTCCCTTCCATCAATGTCTCGGTATTCTTCAACTTCCTGTTTGTGGCACTGGTACAAGTGTCTGTACCAGGTACCACCAAAGGACAGCTAACAGTCGAAGGAATTAGAAAGATTATGTCAAGCTCGCGAGAGCCTAGCATTGCCCTGGCGGCCTTGATGATTGGGCTTGCTCTGATTTCAGCTCCTTGGAGTCTTGGCTGCTATTTAGTTGCTTCAAATGTTCGGGAGAAGCGTGTGTGTTTTCGACAATCTGGCAAAAGTTAAGTTTTCGCGCATAGCCAAGCAGGTACGGCAGACCAGGAGAGCAGGAGCCCATCATCTTCGGGTCGCCTCGTTGGGGCATCATCCAAATGGCTTTCTTCGTGGTGATCTTTGGAATCGGCGTCGTGGCTTGTGTGCAATGGAGACCCCCCACCGACTCGTTGAGCGACGTGGATGTGCACGGCGTTGCGGAAGGGCCCAAAGAGGAGCCCATCGAAGCCGTGAGGGACATGCGCAAGGTGTAGTCTCCGATTGGCTGTAATGTTTAGTTGGGAAGATCTGGACACACATCTCCATGGAAGTGATGTCCACCAAGGGTCCCCAATTGAAATATTTGTTTGCACAAATTAGAATTCTGCCCGGCTGAATCCGGACAGATGGAGGTCTCGTCGAGTCCCAAGACTTTGAGAGCAAGCGCGAGCGCAGAAGGTGTTATCGATTGTCAACTTGGGTCGATGCGGCAAATTCGCTGCCCCAGAGGTGGGCAGGTGCTATGTAAAGATGTGGCGTGACCTCGTTCCCAACAGATCCCGACGTATGCCACCAGAGCGCGGCAAGGAAGAGTGCACCTCGCGCGTCAAGCGTTCTGGATAATCGGATAGAGAGGCCACACCAAAAAACACACGACCTCACGATGGCCTGCTTATGTTTGCCAGAAGGACAACGGTGCAAACACCCGTTTGAGAGGATCATCAAACTAGCAATCTGCGGCAGTGAAGGCTGAATGTAGACACACGGGATGCTCTGGCCAGGTCAAGATGAATCGTGAGGTCCAGATTCTGCAAGGCTTGTCACATCCCAGGACAGGTTCAGAGTGCTGATGCTCAGATTGCGATTGGCCCAGCGCCAGGATTGTGAACCTTCACGCTGTACACAGAACAAAGCAGTGGGTTTTCTTGGCCACTCGGACACATTCTGGGTGCCAGAAGTCATTTTATTGGAACGCCGCCGTCAGGTTATGGAGTTGGTCAAGGGCGGCGAGCTGTTTGACGTCATCGTGAGCAACAAGACCGCGGGCTGCTCCCTTTGCTTTGGATGTCAGACTGGTTTCCAGGCCTATAGAGGCTGTTGCCTTGTCTAGACGAGGGCACCACATGTGGTGGTCATTCAAAAGTAGCCAAAAGCCTGCGCACGTTTCACTTGCGGAGGACCCTCAACGAAATTGAAGCCAAGTACATTTTCCGCCAGCTTCTCGAAGGCTGGAAGTGGCAGTGTTGCAGTGCGGGAGATGGATCCAGTACCAGTCAGGTGTAGGCTACATGCACACCAAGCATGTGATTCACCGGGATCTCAAGCGTCTTGGCTTTGACCAGGCATTGCGTTGATGCATTCTGTCAACACCATATTGTTTGTGTATATCGTGTTCAGTTCAAGGCAATTCGTGCCATGTGACCGTTATTTTGTCTTGACGCAGTTCGTTTAACGTCCGTAGACGGACGTTGTGCGTGCATCTTTCGCATTCCGGTCAATTTGGAGCCACATGCAAAAGCTAAGCACAGCAGACATGCCAGCCAAATGACAAGTACACCTGCTCACCTGCCAATGACAAGCACACGCCCTCAAGACCGGGATACCAGCCCATGATATGCATACCCTCTCAAGAAGCACACCCGCTCAAGAGAACCCGCTCAGCAAGCACGCATGCACGCATGCATGCACGAGCACGCGGGAAAGCAGGCGTGCGCGCAGCGGCTTTGCGCGCCCGCCTGCACGCCCACAAGCTTGAACAGCGCAGTTTTCCGGGAGATGCAGACGTGCAACCACAGCTGAGACGTGAGAAGCCGCTTGTGTTGAAGCGCTTGTGGCTCGTAGAACTCGCAGCCGCAACTTGCTGCCCTTCGCAAACACCACGTCTGTCTACGTACAGTGAGCTTAGTTTGCAAAAGGCAACGCACCGTTTCCAGCTTCTTGCCCTAAGGTCAAAACCAGCCAAAGAAACCTTCTATGTTTCACTTAAACAGATGGCGAAAGAAACGAGTCCAAGGTGACAAGGTGTTTTTCTCTTTCATGCAGGATTGTTGGACGCACCCATTCAGGCTTTCCTCATTTAGGTTTCGCTTAAGTCTGGGCACGCCGCCAGCCGAGGCCCGAGAACATTCTCATTGCCTCCAGCAGGGAGGTACCTCCACCCATGCCACCTGGCGCTGGGGGTTGTAACGGGCAAAGCTTGCCCCTTTGATTTAGGTGAAACGAGGCCGTGATTGGCTCATGGATTTGACATTGACCTGCATACGATCAGATAGTACATCAGTACATGATTGAAATACTTTGTATTGACAAGGATGTTGCTGTTGTCGGGCTATGTGGGTCTGTCTTTGTTGGGGGTACACTCTTTTTTTTATTTTTATTTTTCCTTATTTTTTTTTTAAATCTGTTTTTCCCCTTTTTTCAATATGTTGTTTTTCCTGGGAGGGGGGGGGGATTGGTTCAAAGGGAAACCAACAGGAAAACCAGCATCTTAAGGGTCCCCTACGTTAAGACGCACCCACCTAACCAAAATATATCTCAAAATGGCTCATCCAAAGTGTTGAATCAGAACGAGATCATTCTTAGACTCCGAAAACAGGGTCTGGAGCACTGACTGGAGACGCTGTGGAAATGCTGGGATCAATCCCTAAAGTCGTGTTGAAGATACTGGTCCGGGACACCCATGAAACTTTGGGCGTCGTAGAGGACAACGTAGTCAGCTAGATTGGTCATTTGTTTTCCTCCAAAGCGGGACAAGGACCAGCGACGTGACAGCATCCTGAACCCAGATGCAAGTAAATAGGAGCGCCCTTCTTGTGTAAGCGGCCTCCCTGTGCAGAATTGGTACCTGCATGTCGTGGGGAACATGTAATGGCGACCCCCGGGAATAGAAGATTGACAGCTTTCACTCACTCTTTTACCGGCTGCAGCCAGTATCGGGCTTACACACATTACCTGTGCACGAGTGCATTCGGGCCCCACCTTCAGCATGCAACATAAAAATGCTTATGCAACCACGAGTAGTTCTTTGATCATTGCGACAGCTGGACAGCGAACGCAAAGTCTCTGCCCGAACTCGGTAGGGATGACCGGCCTTCACCAGGGAAGGTGAGGGTGGGGGGGGGGGGCAGAGGCACAGAAGCTACACGTAGACCACTTACAACCAAGGACAGGAGTTCTCCGGGAGGTGAAGATTGCAGATTTTGGTCTCTCCAAGATCATTAACGAGGACTGGGTTGTCGGCCCATTTGGCCCTGGAAGATAAGGAATTGCCGATAGCATGGTTTCCCTAGACGCTGCGCATAAAGGAGTCACAAGCTACAGGATCAGCGCTTGCCATGCTGTCACCATGCCAATTCATTTCATTATGGGGTGCTGTCCGATAAAAAACTATTTGGCGCCAAGAGTGTGTGTATGTGTGTGTGTGTGGGTGTGTATTTGTGTTTGCGACTGTTTCTGCGACTTTTTCCGTGTCAGTGTTTGTATTTACTGTGCCTATTTGTGTGTATGTCTCTGTGTCTCTATGTTTTTGCGTTTTTAGGTCCCTGCCTCTCTTTTGCCTCGCTTCGTCTCTGTGATTCTGCGTCTCTGTTTGTTGCTGTGTCTTTGCGTCTCTGTCTCTCTGTGTCCTTGAGCCTCTGCGTCTTTGTGCATCTTTGGGCATCTCCGTGCATCTGTTTTTCTTGGTGTTTCTTTGCGCTTCATGTCTGTGTTTCTCTGCGTGTCTCTGCGCGTCTCTTCTTCTCTCTTTGTTGCGTGTCTCTGTGAATCTCTCGGTGTGTCACTCACGTGCTGTGTGTAACAGCAACAAACAGGATAAGTCAGAACTGGAATATCAAGACATGACAACTAGGACAGACGCTTGGCGAATGGAACGGAAAGCAGAAGGGAGCAGAGCAGAACAAGACAACAGCATCCAACAACAGAGCATTTCTCAAAAGCAGAATACCTGCCCCCATCAGCCCAAACACAAAGTGGCCACTCCAGACATGAGCGAAGACAGCCACATGGGGCTGCTCCAGCAAGTGATTTGCCTCGATTCGTTTCAACATTTTCAGGGCACCTCCTTCGCGAAGACCTTTGTGGGCACGCCGCAGTATTGGGCACCAGAGGCCTTCGGACGAGGTTTTGGGGCTGTTGCTGGGGCTCGGGCTTGGGATAGGCGGCCAAGGTGACGCCGGTTGATGTGCCCCTTATATGACGCATTCGGCCCAGCACGACCAGGTCTGCACGACCAGGTCTGCACGTGGATGTAGGGGCCGGCGCTGGCGTACCCTTGGAGGAACATATGAAACATAGAAATGGGTGGCATGCGACATGGGCCTACTGGCCCGGCCCTAAACACTCATGGCGAGCTGTGGGCATGCAGCGTGTTGCGGCATGATGCGGCTGGCTTTGCTTGTTTCTTGAAGAGGCCGGGTGTTTTAGTTCCAGGTTCTTGAGCAAGACGCAGGATGGGAAGCTTTGGAACCGTGCACTGCCGAGGGACCACAGTTTCACAGTTTCCAGACCATCTGAAGACTGACAAAATTTGGCCCAGCCCAACACAGCCGCCGCTTTGAGCATTCGCCCTTGCTTGGCTTGTTGTGGTTTGGTGTGGCTTGCCATCATGCACCTCCATTTGTAAAACACCCTCCCACTGCTTTTTTGCCAGGGAATCTGTTTTACCTTGGTGAGAGGGAGAGCAGTTTTCCACGCCTTGCCCGTTTCAGAGGTCCTCGCGTTCCAGTGGCTGGACATTCCGCCTTCGGGGGGGGTTGCCCCAGGTGTTGAACGTCCAGCGAGGCGGGGGCAGCTACACTCAGGCTGCAGACTTCTGGAGGCGAGGGCCAGGTTTCGTTGAAGGGTGGACGGTCATAGGTCTCAAAAGTCACAAGCCCCTTTTGAACGGTTTTAAAGGGGAACCCACAAAAGAGGTCAACGATTTTGAGGCACCCATCTGTGTAGAGGACCATGCTTGTGCCCGATTCCTTGTAAGGATCTTGATCTTTGTAACATTGATCATTGTTCAAGCCCAGCAAGCACGGAATCAAGCTTTGCAGTATTGAATGTTTCTTAGACCTTGCCAGACATTCTGTCAACTGTGGCCATTTTGCATGGAGCTTGACCATGGCACCGGTCCTTGCCTATGTTCAAAAGCCAGCGGCACATCGCGCGCGCTCTGCCAGCCTGGGCGCGGTGCTCTTCGTGATGCTGGGGGGGCGGTATCCCTTCGATGGGAAGGCCATGCCGCTGGAGGACTGGATGTATGGACCATGTCGGATTTCTTGGATCCCTGGTCCACTCCTAAAGCTTTGGGGATTCCCGAGAACCCGCAAGAAAGAAAGAGACCTTGATGTTCAGTAGTCAGGCCTTTTTCTTGCGGGACACGGGGGATTTCAGCAAGTCTCCCACATTGAACCAGGAAGACTCACTAAATTTCCCACGTCCTCTTTACATGTCCTTGAGCCTTGGAAGGAGCAGATCCGAACAGCCACGTTCAGTGGCGCGGCCGCAATATCTATCTCAAGGGCGAAGACGGGGGGAGGGCGTGGCAGGGTCAGTCACGGCACTAGTTCCCACGCTTGAAGATTCGGTGCGTCAGGCATGACGTCCGCTGCCTGGCAGCGCGTGTCGGACGAGGCCAAGGCGCGGTGTGCCACGGGAAACTGAGGCATACCTTGGCCTGAGGCGCACCGACTGCTTTGTGGCTTTGTAGCTGCCAGGATATGGTCAGAGGCTTGCTCAAGGTGAACCCCAAGGAACGGCTCAATATTGAGGAGATCTGCGCTCTCCAATCTTGAAAAGCCGATTGGAGCTTTGAAATTCTTTGAACTCTTCGCCTGCGCCCTTGCGCGCAGGACTGCATGGTTCACCCGTGGTTAGCAGGCCTGCGACAATTCGGCTTCGCGAGAGAAGCGGCACATTTGTGAGGTGCTATCCCACGTTCCCCGACGCAGGCTCGAGTTTTGCATTCTCTGGGCTGCAAGGGCAGCCGTTTGGGTCACTTTGAAACTAGAATTCCCAACAATTGGTTTGAGGTTGGTTCTACTCGAAGGGCTCTGGGTTTTTCGCACACGGCTGTATTTGCCTATGGGTGCTTCTAAAGGTCTGCCAAAGCTGTGGCATGGCTGTGGCATGGATGTCCGCGTCAGGTTCTGCCAGCGTCCAAGGTCACTGTGACGGAGGCGCTTTGCCATGAAGCCATTGAGACTGTGTCTTTGGTAGCCACCCGGCACTTGCAACCCCGGCGAGTTCAGCACGACTTTGCAGGTCACAGGTGGCACACCGCATGGTGGCATTGCGGGCGTGGCGTGTCCCTGAGAGCTGAAGCCCGCGCGGGCAACAGCTCGTGCATGACACGCCGTTGGAACCCAGGTACAGCATCCTTCGCAAAGCGACCTCTCCGCGAGATCGGCCTGCCATTCTGATTTGGCACCGAACAGCTCTTTGCCTGATTTGGCACCATGGGCACCCTTGTCGCCAAATTATCTACGCGTCCGAAGCTCGAAGGCCCCTGCCCCAAGATCCCCGCAGTGTTTCCTGGTTGGATGCTAGGTTTCCTCTTTGGGGTTCCTATCCTGGACCCAGTCCCCAATTGGCCAATCTCACCCTCGCTTTGGCTTCAAGCTTCGCATATGGCCCCGGACCTTCGAAGCCTCGTGCTATGCGGAAGTCCTTACGCTCTGCGGCGTGCCTGGCAGCCGTTTGTTTGGCAAGATGCTTCCTTGAGGAAACGTCTGCACCTCACGCGCGATGGCTGCAGGAAGGGATTTGTGAACAGGTGAACTGCAGATGTAGAAGCGGGAAGTGTACCTTGTTTTCTGCCAGGTTTCGAATGTAACTCCAAGTGTAGTGGACGGGTGCTGAATCAAGGAGTCCTCCAATGGGTGCTTTCATTTCGCTTTCAAAGTCTGTGTTGGACACTGTTTCGGCGCCTCCCACATTTGCTTGCTTTCCCTCGCAAGCAGAAAGCACAACCTGGCCGGTTGTTTGGCCCTCCGATGCCCCACCAGGCATAGTGAATCTTCTAGGTGGCCATGGGTCAAAAGCCCGCACTCCCCGGTGAACATCCCAATCCCACTAAAATAGGAAGCCTAAAATGGGTGGTGCACCTACCCCAAAATGGGATCCCATTGGTTTTGACTGTTTCGCTTTGTGACAAAGTCAGCCGCAGGTGCCCCGAAGGCATCTCTGGATCTGGGCGCTGGGTGCGCAGGAGGCCTGGGCTGAGGTTCCGGCGGCCCCCGCGTCGGGGCCCACCTTCCGGACCTTGCGGGCGGTTCCCGAGATCCCAGTGGCCACCGCGGTGATTTTGCTGCGCACCACTCAGGCGAGATCGGCAGGGGGCAGGGCCGGGGGTTCAGTGCTCTAGAATGATGACAATGGTGAATACGATGACAGTCGCAGTGACCACGAAGACGATGAGGAGGAGGATGAGGATGAGGATAACGATGACGACGATGATGATGACGACGATGATGATGATGAAGATGGGGAGAATGACAATGATGATGATGATGATGATGATGATGATGATGATGATGATGATGATGATGATGATGATGATGATGATGATGATGATGATGATGATGATGATGATGATGATGATGCTGATGCTGATGCTGATTCTGATGCTGCTGCTGCTGCTGATGATGATGATGATGATGATGAGGATCATGATTATAATGATGATGACGATGACGATGACGATGACGATGACGATGACGATGACGATGACGGCGATGAGGATGAGGATGATGATGATGGGGAGAATGACAATGATGATGACGACGACGATGATGCTGATGCTGATGCTGATGCTGCTGCTGATGATGATGATGATAATGATGATGATGATGATGACGATGACGATGACGATGACGATGATGATGACGATGACGATGACGATGACGATGATGACGACGAGGAGGATGAGGATGATGATGATGATGATGATGATGATGATGATGATGATGATGATGATGATGATGATGATGATGATGATGCTGCTGATGATGATGATGATGATGATGCTGATGATGATGATGATGATGATGATGATGATGATGATGATGGAGAGGATGACAATGAGGACGACGATGACGTGGATGAGCATGAGGATGAGGATGGATCAATCTATCCTTTTTGGGACTGACAGGAGCGGAGTTACTCAGTGTTCAACACGACTCCGCGAGGACAGAAATTTTCCCGGGTATCGCAGATTTTGAGAGTGGATCATACAAACTATTGGTTGGGAAGGTTGGAACTTTGGACCAATCCATTTTTAGTGTGAAAACAGGACGGTGCACTGGTTTGCGCATCTTGTGCGATGGTGTTTGTCAGACAAACCAAACGAGCTTTCAAACAAGAACTAAACAAACAAAGTGCCAACTTATGTCAGCTGTCCTGACTGGGGGGGCAGGGGTAGTTTTGTTTTGGTTTTCGATATTTTTTGCATTGAATGGGAACAGTGTGAAAAGCCCGGAAAAACTCACAAAAACCAAAAAACAAGACTATGTCAGCTGTCCTGACTTTGGGGGGCATTACATTTTTTTCTTGGGTTTTTGCTTTGTTTGAATTTTCCCGTGTCCGGACTGTTTGCAAGAGCATTTTTGTTCAAGTGGACTTGCGCAGTAAGCTAGAGATGGTTTCCTTTGATTGGATTCTTTATTTAGTACTTTCTTTGTTTAAATGTTTACTGATTTGTAAAAACACGTCTATTGGAAGGAAATCCAGCGAAACATTTAAATTGACATAGAACAATGATTATTTAATTCTTGCCTAATAGGCAAGCAATTCTATTTGTAGCCTTTCCTTCTTCAATTCTGTTTATTTTTAGTTATGATTTAGTTAGATCTTGATAACATATATTAAGTATAATCCAGATGCCCAACAGTTGTTGAATAATTTGTGTTCAATTTTTACGGATTTGACGGATTTGAAATGTGACAATCATTGTTTAAATTCAAACATAAAACTCCCCTTACTCAATTCCATTTCCTGGAGATATTATCTTGAATTTAGGATGTAGATAGAGTTTATTCCCCAATAGAACTGTACAAGGAATAATTAAATCAGAAAATTCACGTTGCATTAGAATCTAGATTCGACTTTATTCAATTTTAACTTATAATTTACACAGGAGTGTCTTTCCAATCACACTTGATTGTAAATCAGTCAACATGTACACACAATGTTTTAAGCACAGGCCAACTCGAGTTGTCAGCCTCAAAACGGTAACACACCACACACTCACAGCGTCCCTTCTCGCTTTGAGTTTGCAAGTCTATGTGAACATTACTCCATGAAGCTTGACATGTTCTCCATGCGCAGCCTCGCGCAGGAGGCAGCGCTGGACTGGGGCGGGCCCTTCAGCAAGGCCTCGGTGTGGCAGACGAACTTCAACAAGCGCCGGAGCGAAGGGTTCCCCTCGTTTCGGGAGCGCTACGCCAACTACGACCTCACGGGCCTGCTGAATCAGACGCAGCTCATGCTGAAAGACCCCCGCACCAACCGGCTGTACTTCTCCTTTTTGGACGAGGTCCAGTTTAGGACGCTGCAGGATGGCATCAAGCGGCGAGCGGAGCAGGACAGGTTTGGCTTCAACGTGGGGGCACGCCTCTACAGGAAGATACTTAATGGCGATGAGGTCGGGCCTCGAATTCAGACTCAGCCTGACACCTTCGACCCCAAGGCTCCTGTGGACATGTCCTCGCCTTTCTCAGGCAGGTGGCCGGCCTTAAAGCCACCTTTGCCCAAGGGCCAGTCTGCGGGTGACTTGGCAGAGGGCAGCCGGAGGCTCTTGGAGTACCTGCGGTCGCAGGGCTACTGCAAAGACTTCAGCCTCTCCAGCTTTGAGCTCCAAAAAGATGGCCGAGTCCAGTTCTCCTCGTTCGTGCTGGAGCCGGCCAATTTGGAGGCCACCTCCACACTGATGCGCAGCCGAGGGTTCCCACCAAGGTACGACTCGCGGATTCTGCAGGCCTTTTTTGCGGATCGGGGCTTTGATAGTGAGCTGGAGGATGAACTGAGTGATGGGCTGGACAGTAACAAGGGCTCGCGCGGAGTCCGCACCAAGTGGCTGCTTTCTGCTGATCCGGACATCAGCTTGGATGTGTGAGCCAAATGAATTCGCTGGTCGAATCGGAGCCTGGTGGAATCCCAGCGGACCAGTTTCTTGGACTGCCAGCCCCTAGGTTAATGCAGCCACACGCAACTGCGTGTCAGGCGCAATTTCTTTTTCTGCGCTTGTTAGCCCTGGCCTCTGGATAGAGGCGCAGTGTGGGGTTCGACCACAAGGGCCCAGGAAGCAAGATCCTAAAAATCGGAGATCGCGCTGAGAATTCTACACTCCTGCGGATTTACGTGGAAGCTGGAAACAAACAGCAAGACATGGCTTTACAGGAATGTCCCTTTGAGGGACCTCCCTTTTGGAATTCCACGTTGCTTTGCAGAGTAACTTTCACGGCCAGGAAAGCGGCGGCAGCAGGCATAAGATGGAAACCACCAAGAGTGCGGGTGAATGTACGAAGGCACGACCATCACAGTCAGCTACATATGCCTTTAGACCTTAGACCAGGCAACAGTGTCCTATCGTCAGACACAGCGACTAGTTCTCATGACAAGCCACGCATGACTAGAGATCATGCCAAGCCATGCAACGAGCTACGCACGACATCAGTCAAAATCCTTGGACTCTAGTTGAGCCATTTTGGGCATTTGGACCAAAGTGCTGCATTTTAGGGTCGCCATTTCCATCCAACCTCACATGGAGAATTGTTCAGATTTACACGAAATTACATGGCCACTTTGGATGGTCGGCTTCGCTTTGACTTGAAGATGCGCTCAGTTGAACAACAAGGTTTCCTTGTAGTGCCACTGAAACGCAGGCCTCTGGCGCCTCAGAGGAGTCAAACAATGCGCAGAAACGCCAGGCTGGAGAATTCCAAACTTGAGTGTCAAACGTGGACACATCAGGCTGTGCCTTGTGCAAAGGCTTTGCGCTTGAAAATCAGCCACCGAGCATAGGATTGCCGGGTTGCCACGCTCGAAGCTGCAAGACCATCTTGATGCAAGTGTGCGTCCAAACATGGGCAGCCCGCAAATTTAAATGGTTGGCGGCATTGATTTCTCTTTTCGTCAAAAGCTGCCAGGGGGGCCTGCAAGTTTAGGGCCCATTGCTCTCGGCAGCGGGCCAGGGAATAGAGGTGCCCGTGGTCCTATCCGACGAGCGCCCGGAGGACGACCAGGAGTGACGCCATGTCCTCTCAAGGTCTGCTCCTTTGTTGTTCTTTGCACACTCGCATATCCTTAGTTTGTGCGTGTGTGTGTCCACGCGTGACGTATGTGGGCGTGCTGGTTTGGTATATGTATTTTTGAGGTGTTCGTCTATTGTATTTGTGCCTGCGCACGTCCGTGCTTGCGGTGCTGTGCTGCGCCGTGCCGTGCCGTGCTGTGTCATGCTGTGGTGTGCTGTGGAGCTGTTGTGCGGTGTTGTGTGGCGTGCTGTGTGGCATAGTGTGTTGTGGCGTTGCGTTTCGTTGTGTTGCGTTGGGTTGAGTTGGGCTGGGTATTTAAGCGTGTGAGAGTGTGTGTGTGCGTGTGAGTGTGTGCGCGTGTGCATGCGCGTGTGCATGCGCGTGTGTGTGTGTGTGTGTGTGTGTGTGTGTGTGTGTGTGTGTGTGTGTGTGTGTGTGTGTGTGTGTGTGTGTGTGTGTGTGTGTGTGGTGTGTGTGTGTGTGTGTGTGTGTGTGTGTGTGTGTGTGTGTGTGTGTGTGTGTGTGTGTGTGTGTGTGTGTGTGTGTGTGTGTGTGTGTGTGTGTGTGT